GACAACGCATGTGTGGATCCTGATAGCACTTACAATTATCACCTTGGGAAAGAAGACCTCAGAAAGCACAAATACCACATATTCAGTACAGTCCACCGTCTGTGTAGACACTGACTCCTTATGAAGTAAGCAGGTAGGTAAATGGAGGTAAGGAAGTGATTTATTTTCTACTTAGCCTGAGAACCGTAGAGAAAAACATCATGCAGTAGGTTTTTGCATCATCATCCCAGTAGCAGATTCAGACATCAGATTTACCCATTCTAAAGTAATTGTCTACTCCATGAACTGACCAGAACTGGGTGCAGCAAGGCTAATAGAATCATATAATATCCTGAGTTGGACAGAGCCTATTAGGGACTGAGCCCAACTCCTGGGCCTGCACAGGACACCCCAAGAATCACACCAGGTGCCTGACAGCCTTGTCCGAATGCTTCATGAACTGGCAGGCTGGTGCTGTGACCACCTCCCTGGGGAGCTGTTCCTGGGCCTGATCACCCTCTGGGTGACAAACCTTTTCCTGATACCCAACCTAAACCTCCACGCAATGTACAAAACCACAATGCATGTTGGGTATCATTTTTCTGGACAAGACTGATACAGCTTTCACTTACACCTACCTAAAGAAAAAAGGCACCATTTCATATTTCAAATAATGAAATGTAATTCACTATCATGAGCAAAGCTTGTACTAATTAAAACTTAGTAATTTTAGGTTTATTTTAATCTTGCAGAAGTTTAATTCTGGAAACTTAATTGGACCAACCTCTCCTTTAAGGGCATGGTGCAGAAACTCTGGGGGTGAACAAGACCCTTTTTAGACTGAAAACTAAGCTTCAGTCTGAAAAACAACACCTCAGCAAAAACCACACACACAAACCACACTGATTTTTGCCAGATAAACTAGAAACCGGATTTTTTAAAAAAAAGTAATTTCAAAGCAGCTGAAAATCTGTTGCCTTTTTTTTTTTTTTTTTACTTGCCTTCACACCTACTATTTTTCTTTGCAGGTGGCACACAACAGATGCTCTTGCCTTTCTGGTCAAAAGCCTTGGCAGCACAGTAATGTTCTTTCTAGGAACATACACCTCAGGTAATACAAGGTCGCTGGGGCATCACATGGGGAGTTCCTCCTAATGTGGTACTTCAAAAGTTAACCAACAGCAAAACTGTCCCCTCTTCCAATACACATAAACCTTCACAGAGAAGACGGGATAAATAGCACCTTTTCTCATTCAATGCCAGCATTTTCATACCAATTCCTTCTTCTCATTTTAGTGGGACAAGGCTGGTTAATTTAAAGACAAAATCCTCTCTCCTTGCAAAGGGTGAAATGGATGACAAAGCATCCTTCAGAATGGGATAAGGCACACTCCACGTTCTCCTCATATGAAAGGAGCAATTTGGCTATATCACACTAATTTAACAAGATGTTTAAACCTATTTTCAGTGAAGTCAGAAGTACGTAATTTTCCTTTAAAACATCAAGCTTCTTTCAGGTGGCTGAAAAGAGAGGAAGTTACTGTGGAGAGGGTAGAAAATAGGGATAAAGTAATGAGGGACCAGGAAGGGATGTGATAACTAGGTGCCATAGATGCTGTTTTCTTAGCTGGGCAAGAATAAGAGACTTCCAGCACTTATGAAAGAATGTGCAGGACTAGATTTCTTTCCCATGTGTGTACTGACACACTGGCATCACTATGTTCTGGATGTAGTTAATCTCATGCATCAACATAGTTCTTTGTTGCACCCACTGCAAATCTTCACCAGAAGCCTAAAACAGGCAGGCAAACTTCAAATGCTATCACCTGAGAAAATACAGGCAGTTTTGCTTGGGTTGCAGAGACAAGCAGGCTAGACAAACTAGTAAAGCAAGGGCAAGAACTTTAGGTACAAAGGAAACAGATTAACAGCAGAAATAACCAAACTTGGTAGGAGAAACTAAGCCCAGGTAAGAGAGCCTTTTCTACTGGTTAAGTCTTGGACAAGGAAAGAAATAGAAGTTCACTTTCAGTCTTCTGGCTTGCTTCTCACAGCAAACATGACAGCTTTCACTGTGATGTAGCATTTCCCTGTCCAAGGAAACACTCCTGCCCCTTTCCATTAAATGTAAGCCTTTCACTTCAGGGATTCCAGTAGATGCCCAGTGCAGGTAACTTTTGCTGTTGTATTTCGCTTCATGTCTAACACCTTCAGTGGTGGGACATGTGTTCATTTTGGACAGACGTTCACAAAGCCTATATATTAATGTAGCTGAGAGGCTAAAAGACTCTTCTCAGATGAAAAGGTTGACTAACTTTCTTAAAAATTAATGTCTACATTTGTAAAAATTGACCCAAAAATTAATTTGACTAATATTCAAGATATTCTAGAGAAGTGTAATGCATATATAAGACCAATTTCCCAAACATTCACACTTGAGTGACACTTCCATTTGCTGTAGAATCTCTCTAGAGACATATACCATGTGTATATAAATGTATGTATATGTATGTATGTACATGTGTATATATAAAAGATATAAAACCTCTTCCAGAAGCAATGATCTCAAACTGATTTCTCTGATTTCACTGAGTAATACTTAGGCTCAGGATAGTGGAAGATGCAAGTAAACTGTTTAAACATAAAGGATGTGGTCCAATTTCATTTGTAATTACTAGAGTAAACATTTCCCTGCGTTAATTTAGTACTTGTTCTTATGGGGAAGTATCAAATGAAAAGCCACACATAGTTTATCTAAGGCGCTGAAGCATTTTAAGTATGTGCTTATGTATTTAGAGGTGTAATTCTCTAAAAACTGGTATTTCCTCTTACTGTCTCAAGCTGCTTCCCGGTGTAAAGCAGGCCTCACTCATTATATGTGCATGGTGCAAGACCCAAAAAAGTAAAAGGCCCAAGCCAGCCCCCAGTGAAGACAAGTTCTCAAATATCAATTTTGCCAGCATGGAAACACAGCACTCTCCTTGGTGACAGAGAGGGCAACTGCACCCTGCAGGGAAGCAACTATCTTGGATCTAAGATTTTAGGTTGATGCATGCCAGTATCTTTAGAAGCAGAATTGACAGACAGTAGCTGGAGGGGTGAGCAGCTGGTGACTGCTTTTCACAAAATAGGTAAGACAATAGCACAAAAAGACATCAAACTAGGGAATAAGAACATCCAAAGCTTAATCGACTATGCCATGAATTTCTGCATTTTTTATTATTCCATGAGTCAAAAGAAGTGCTCAGAAAAGCTACAGATGAACATTTCTTGCGGTACTTTCTCACCCAGCACGGCAAACAATACATAATAGGGACACTATAAACTGAATAACTTTGCAGAGAAATTCCATCAACTCAGCTATGTGCCTATTTTAATGTTTCTATTAAAAATTCACACAAAAAGTTTGACTGAGTGAAATCTCTAAGGAATAAAGGGGGAAAAAATCTCAGAAAGAGACGATGCCATGACATTAATGTGCCAGCAGTACCGCTTTTTAATTGGCATGATGAAATTTTTCTCACCCAATTCATCACATCACAATAAACAATTACTAAATTTACAATACATGAGCTACTCCTGCTATTTCGGGTTTTCACAGTATTTTCAGAGCCTTGACTTTTACAAGGTAAGGCTCTCTAAGGAAAGGCTCTCCATTCCACCAAGAATTAATCTTTCTGCCTCAAAGCTTTACGTTGCAACCTTCATCATACAAGTACACTAGGGAAGGCGGACAGTTAAAACAGTGGCTGAAGCTGGGACAAAATTATGGATGAAATCTGACTGGATTAACTTCTGTCTTTTGAATGCTAGATCAAGTAGTGTTCTGAACCAAGAAATGTATGGATAGCCCTAAAGCAAAGCTAGGCATCTTGTATGCAACTCCTCAAAGAAACAATCACATGTACTTACCTAAAAAGTACTAAGCAATAAACAACCAATACCCATGTGGACATGGGGACAAACCCCCTCATACATTATACAGCATCTCAGTAGTCCCCTGCATGCACTCCTTCAGTAGTATTCTCTCATTTTAGTACAGGCTCTTAACATGGTCCCAAAGTCATCCACAGTACAAAACACTACTGTTCAGGAGGCACGTGAAGTTTAAGGAAGATACTTTACACAACACATAAAACAACTACGTGCTTAATGGCAACATGATTAATGTATTTTCTCTCATTGATTCTTCCCCTCAAACCCAAAAAGCTACAACAGGAGCCAAGATCCATCCTACCCAAGTTGCCTGAGCATAAGGCAAAGCAACAGGGAGGACAATTTCACACAACCCACCTACAGGCACTTAGATTAGCTGAAGCACCTTCACCTCCTTTACAATCAACATACAGAGACAAGCTCTGTGAAAGGTTAATTCAGATCAAGTAACACTAAGGCACTTGCCAGCATGGTTTGTATCAGGGATATTTCTCTGCCTTTCCCACTGAAGAGAAAGGGACTGGTAGATTAGCCAGTTAAAATAACATGCCTAAAGGTAGACGGTGAAAATACCATCCTAACTTCCAAATCAAACAAGCTCTGCTTGGTCTGTCCTGTTTATTAGGATGTGAAATGCAGGCAGGTACAGCATCCTTTCTGACCCTTCAATTAAGATAGGGAAAAAACCCAAGGGTGTTTTGAATTTGGAAACAGTCAACAGCTAGGACTGCTATTTTACTTCAGAGAAAAGCTACTAGTAACAACACTTAATGTGTTGGTTTGTTAGTGAGCATGAGAATATCTAGCTTTTGAAAAGTTGACTTCATGACAAAGGTTGAATTACCAGAATAATGCAGTGCATAGGGTAAAAACGATGTATCATCAGATTAAACTTTTTCTCTATGTTCTGCAAGACACTTTACATTCAGCAGAGGTGCAAGAGCAACCTTTGCATGTCTTCTAAACACATAATGAGTTCAAACAATTCAAAAAGAGAGGCTGAGTTAAGTATCTGTAAGTTTCTTCTCAATCTTATAAATACATTAGAACTGTGAACCAGAAGCACTACTAAAGCATCGACTAAATTTCAAGTGTTTAGCTACAGCTTTAATTTTCACTACAAAGTTAACAGACTCATAGCTAGGTCTTATAAAAATTAATTTGTTTTTAAAAACATGAGACAGTTATGCACATTTATTATAAAGGTTTTAATATATTACAAGTTTAAGCCATTGTAATAAGCAATCAACACACTAAAATTTGTATCAAAAAGATACCCTTAGCCATCACTATAAATATACCAGCAATTTTAATTAATTCACAACAGCAAATTCATGACTTTGTTTTCACAATAAATTAAAATATACAAGAAAGATATCTCAGAAGTTCACCTAAAATTGTGAGCAGCCAGCAGTACAATTGGTCAACTCTACTGTAAAAAGACTCTTATCTATATAAAGTGGTAATTACATATTTTTGCTTTTGTTAGAGAAATACTCTATGATTTTTTACCATTCAGACAAAAGCATTTAATATCACACATACAAGTTTTGCATATTAAAATCACACAAAATACAAGTCTGTCACTGATCTCCATCTTCAAAAAATAGAAAATCCACCTCTTTCAAGGACGCCAGGTGAATAATAAGGTCTAAGCTTGAGAAGAAATGCAGGCACTTGCTCTTCAGCCCAAATTCAGGTACCCTCCAAACAGCATGAAACTAGTGATTTTTCATCCGGCTCTGCGAAAAGAAGGAGCGTCCTACTGATGGGGTCGAACCCCACTACTTGCCTCGGTGGCCAAGGCTAGATTCCTCCTGCAGAACTAGGAAGAGAAGGAATTGTTGCCACCTCAGCAGCATGCAATCCCGGGAATACAAAGGGGATTCCCATTGTCATTGTCTTCATCTGCAGCTGATCATCACCAGCACTAGCAAGGCAGTAGCTTGCGCAGTTATCTCCACAGCGGGCAATGTCACAACCCGACCAACAGCACAAACTACTACCTCAGCCAGGGCCCTGGTGCTCCCGACCCCTTCTGAAGGGGGAAACAAGCAGGCAGACAACACAGCAGCGACAAATGAAATTAGAGGGAAAAACAGAAGAAAGATAAAAGGGTTCTGAGGTCTTTTGATGATCCTCGTCTCCTTTATCTGCTGCAGACATCAACCAGACTCCTCTCGCCTGACTGTGAAAAGCAAAGGGAAACCCCGCCCAGCTCCCTCCTCAGATTTGCCCTTTTCCTTGCATGACCTGAAACCGACGGGAAGAGCTTCATTTATCAGATACATTACAGACCCCAGCTGGTACAGTAAAGATCACGTTTAATTTCAAACAGCCATAGTTCCGCAAGCCTGAAACAGATGGGGCGGGGAGGGGAAGCAGGGAGGGAAGGAAGAAAGGCAAGGAGTCGGGGGGAGCAGAAGGGGGCGAAGAAACACAGCCGAAAGACACCCCCCCACCAGCTCCAGCCGCCCTCCTCGCCCCCCCGCAGGAACGGCGGCGGCGCGGGACCTGCCCGCCGGCCCGGGCAGCCCGCCGAGGAACGGGGTGCGGGGCGGAGAGGCGGCCGCCAGCCCGCCCTGACCTCCCGCCACCCCCGCCGGGCCTGCCCGCCCGCTCCCCGGAGAGGCGGCGATGGGCCGGGGCGCTCCAGACCCGGAGCGTCCGGACCCGGCCCCGCTCGCCCGAGGACGCGCCGTGTCGCCGGCCGGGGCGAAGGGGCCGCGGAAGGACCCCCGCCCCGCTCGCCCCAGCGGGGAGCCTCCGTCGCCTCTGCCGGCGGGAAGGAGGAAGCCGAGCTCTCCGGCGGGGGCACCGGAGCGCCGGGGAGGGGGAAGCGCTCGCCTTGCCGAGGCCGCAGACAAAGGAGGCGCCGTGCGGGCGCCGCAGCTCCGTCCGCCCGCCCGTCCCTCGCCGCCGCCGCCCGTGTGTCCGGCTGAGCCATAGAGACCGCGCGCGCGGGGGGGCGCGGGGCGATTCGCGCCACGTGACCGGGCATGTCACTCACCCGGCCGCCGCCATCTTGCGGAGGGAGGGGGAGCGCTGCCCCCGACGAGTGCCCAAGATGGCGCGGGCGCGCGGGCCGCGCTGACAGACGGGGGCGCTGCGCTCTGCGGGCCCGGGCACGGCCGGACCGCCGCCCCCAAACGGGCCGGGAGCGGCGCCACCGGGCTGGGAGCGCACGGGCCGCTTTGGGGCGGGGATTTTCAGCTGCTCAGCCCGAGGGACACAGTGGGCACGGGTGTTCGGGCTACATACAGTACCTCCCTTGGCTCGGGACTTCTAATTTGGAAGCTCTTCCCTTTCTAAATGTAAACAGACTCCATGACGATTTTTCCACAGAAACTGACCTCAAAGAAACCCACTGTGGAACCTCATTACATATTCACGAAAATTATAAATACTAGCGTTCTTACTGTTATATCGGTCCTTCACAACCAACACACGTATGAACAAATCTATTAAAAAAAAAACAGGTACCGGCACACCAGAGGGATTATACTGACTTTAAAAATTAAAATGTGTTAATTGTGTTTACAAAAACTGTATTAACGTCAGTGGTGCAGAATATGGAAATAGGAATATGGACAATAGTCTTGAAGTTTCTAATGCAAAACTCCATCTACAACATGGGTTAAGAAGGAAATGCAATGCCTTTTATGACAACTTGCAAAAAATTTGTAGTTGAGAAAGACACACTGGAAAGGAGCCAACACATTGCCACCTTAGAGACAAAGATAAAATACATTACAATTAGGTAGTTCCCCCTTTTTGAAGTTGCTACATGCATGAAGCATCAGGCACAATCAGATCACTGATCATTTGTTTAAAACACGTCTAAGACAGTGATACTCTGTTGGAGAAAACATGCTAAGAGATTGTGATGATGAGGTGATCCTGAAGTTCATGTGTTTTCGATAGAGCATGGCACATTAAAGAACATTCTACAGCTGAGAACACAGAAACATCCAATAACTCAGTCCTTTACTTCTGGTTCTGAAAGGGCCTATTTGATCTCCTCCAGACCGCTTTCTCTCAATTCCCGTTTTCCTCTGTAAATCCATATTTTTCACAGAGACAGTGAGACTTAATTGTTGTAATTTTTGAAGTCAGGTAAGGAAAGGCAAAACATTACAAATATGGATGCACTAAGGAAATGTATGCTCCGTTCCTACTCGGTATAGTTGGTATACGCATAAAAACTCAGTTCTGAAAAACAAATGCAATTTGAAAGTGGGACATTGCTTACTAAAAAGAAAAAGTAAACACTAGATATTTCCCTACTATTTTTCCTATTAAATAATCAGTTTTATTTTAAAGTATATTACAAAATATATTAGCAGTGGGAAAAATCCTGCAAACTTAGAATATTAAAGTTTTTATTTAATTCTGAGTTAGTTTTTGCCTTTTTTTAAATGTGCTCCCTTCTATTCTAAGACCACCTCAATTATAATATAAACTTTTACACAAGACTTAGTATTTCAATGATTAATTTTCCTGAATTAAGGTATCTTTTATATTTGTTAATTAACAGACCGAAATACATCTAATATCATGAGAATATTTAGAAAGTTTCCTAGACAAGGAGTTAGCAATTCCTATTTGAAGAAAATCAGCACTTCTGGGCAAAAGTAAAATGTAAATTCAAACCATATCATTTGGATAAATTCATTATAAGAAGGTGAGATAACTGTAAAATACTGTTTCTTTTTGAAGTTGGTAAGTTAAATAATTGAAATATTTATAATGTCTAAAAAGAAGTTGTTTTTAAAATTGTAATTGGACATCAGTACAAACTACTGGCAGATACTTAGCATATATCACAGTTTATTATATGGCAAATCAGAAGACCTACACATGTTTTTTGACTTGCATTTATCTAAAAAGTCCAAGATCTATTACAATAGATCTTTGAAAGCAATGAAAAATTACCTAAAAGGTTAGGAAATATGCAAGGCTGCAGCTGGATACAGGCACCAATCTGCAAGCTTTCAGTCCCTGATGTTGGAATCATCCATCTTGCTGCTTCATGCCATAATGCAAAGCTCTGAAAGATTTTGAGGATGGGAGCCCTAGTTACTTTCAGTAATTCAAGGTGTGTTTACCAAGAGCATAAGTGTGCAGGGACTTTCAAAGAACTCATGTTTACTGGCAAGTATTTTTTCATTTTCCTGAGATGAGAAATTCAAATGCCAAAAATAAGAATTCAGGCACCCAGGTGGACAGTATCAGGAGTAACTGTAACCTTGCTGATCTGAAACACTTGTGAAAAAAGCAGCAGTTTAATGTAATATATAAAACAATCAAAAAATAATCTGATGAGTGTACAAAAGTGTAGTAGTAATGGAAATGGTTAGCTCTATTTACTGAGTTTATGAAGACAGTAACATCATGTACTCATCCAAATTGGGAAACCAGTGGAAAACCAAGATGGTTCAGCAGCAGGGAGAATTTAAGGCTCAAAAAGAGCTCAGCTTTGTACACTAACAGTAACTGTAGATCTCTTAACTCTTCATGTAATTATTTACACTAATGCCATGACTACAAGAAAGTCACAGCATGTTGTCCCTTGCAAACACAGGATACAACGGATAAATATTTGAACATTATCTTCACCCAGGGAAAAAACAGACAAGCCTCAGAGCAAACCCTTACAAAGGATATGTAAAAACCCAAAAGGCAAACAAACAAACAATAGCCACAAAGAAGATGCTCTTAGGGGAACTCAAAAAAACTGTAGCACCATCAACACATTGCAACAGCAAAGGCAACTGCTTTTACTGTGTCTCATTTTCTCCATTTTGAGATATCTAAAGTAAACTAAAAAAACACCACATGCCTAAGCCTAAGGAAATTGTCCTATGCTCTGGTAGCAAGAACTGTCACTTTCCACATAGCAACTTAGATGATCTTGTAGGATGGAATGACTCTACTGCCAGGCCTGCCTATTTTGTCTTCCCTGACTGCAAATGAAAGCCAGGTTAGTTAATCTTGTGGTAGACCTCAAAATTTTAGTTACCTAAACCTCAGAAGAGAAATCTAACTTGTGCATCTCAAAGCAGACATTCCATACTGCCTCTCCTAAGTTTATTACAGGACGAATCATTTCTATTTTAGTCTATTTAATAATGACTTAAATAAACAAGAAATTACATTTTAAGCCTGATTTTGCACCTACATTCATCTCCTCTAAAAGATTATTATTTCATTAGCAATTATTTAAATGTTTGTTTGCAATTAAATATAGTCCCACTAAGTTTGGTAACTTTTTAAAACTAGGGAATTCATTTTACATAGCTAAGATCATATCGCTTGTTAGATGCTAAATGGTTACATTTTATTTGAAAACATATGAGTGCATTTTTTGATAATTTAACACTTCATTAGTTTGACAAGATCTCTGGATTCAGAGTATAACATGAAAAATGGCATTGAAAATAATTCTTAGATTGATCTCTTTTAAATGTATTGAATACATCCATGAAATACATTTTGTTAACGAAGACTACAGAACTAAAAGTTTCTAGTTGCCACTGCCTTCAGCTTTTAGAGAGAGCAGATTTTACACAGGATAGACCCGTGAAGGTATTGAAGAGAAAAAAAAAAAGGCAAAACTATTTTCAATTCCTAACCCATTTCCAAATTTGACCAAGTTATTTAAGTTGAATTGGTTAAAGTGATATTAAACTGCAAGAAAGAGCAACTACTACCGAAATGAAGTTTAGTACTTCAAAAATTTGCTTCCCACTCTATAAAGAGAGAGGGGCTCATGCTACTCCATGAGTTCAGTGCATTTTCTTTGAGACTATGGCCACAAAACTGCTTAAAATTTTAACAGTATAGTGCATACAGCTGTAACAGACATTGTTAATTCTGTATTTTGACAGAAAATATTTAATTTAAGTAGGTCTGTTCTAAGATAAATGTTTATCTTTCCGCATTTGTTCTAGGGAAGTGCTTTGTGTAGACTCTGGAGTTCATTTTAGTGGTAAGGTAGTACTGTATAATGCTTCGCCAAGCCCAGAGGCATGAACAGATACTCAGTAAGTAGATCTGCAAGTAGTAGTTGTGATGTACTCCAGAAATCAGTTCTTTGTACATGTACATCCCAGCAGCACTATGCACTTAATATGCTTGTCCCCTTCCATGTTTTCTCATGACAGAAGTTGATCGAAACCAGACTGCTCTGTGCTCTCTCTGAATTGGTGGCAATCCAGTTTTAGCTGCCATTTTTCTATGGAGCCTCTCAGCCACACCCCTCAGACCAGGCTTTGGTCTTTGATGTAAATGTCAGACAGAAGTGTGAGTCTTCTGGCAAGGAAGCCAGAAAGGCAATTCCTTGGCAGATTTAATTGTTCTAAGTAAGAAATAGTTAACATTAAAACCATCAAATGGAGTGATATCAGGCTTCACATTTGCAGCCACCACAGCCTCATGAACTGCAGTCTTCAAGCAGCTTCAGCTTAGGAGATACCCCTGGAGACTTGTGTCAAGCCTCACTAAAAGTATCAAGCAAATATTTTGTGCACAAGAGAGCAGCAGGAATTACTCTAGTTTGAAGATCAGGGTCTTCAGTAACAAAACTGTGAAGGGGTCAGATACCTGACTTGTATGACTTCCAAAGGCTTTCCTTTCTTATTTAATTATTGATAGTCTCTTCTGAAAACAAAACGGACAAAGGGGCCAATGCCTTCGAGTATGTTTCAACATCACAATTTTTCTGATTGAAGAAAAATATGATAGCGGTACTTAACTCATTCTTTCCATAAGGAATACATTTTAGGTGAAAAAAGAACTACACTGCTGATAAATTGTAAGTTCTGCTGATGCTTATAAGTTCTTAAGGCAGGCATCTGGATCACCAGTGGAAATAAATGTATTGACACGGAGTAAAAAAAGCTTATCAAACTGATCATAAAAATAAGCTTATCTGAGAGTTCCTTTAAACATAGATAATAAAGTAAATTCAAGCAATGAATAGTCTCCTCTCTTGCTAGTGAAATCCTGTAGTTAGCACATTAAACACACAGGTAAATTTTATCCTTTTTATCAGTTGTTTCATAATCAAGGCATAAATTCTTAAATAAGGAGCTTAGAAAAAGAAGGATCAGTTTTTAGCATGTTACTCTCTGACAGGCACAAGGACACCACAAAGATGATCTTAAAAATGCTGAGGTTACTCAGATTAGTTCTTTAAATACCAGGAAGAAATTCTTCAGGCCCAGTCAATTTGACAACATACAACCATTTTCTCTCCTCTTTCCCTTTTACTGGGCAAATTTCTTCAATCTTTGTTATTCATATCAATTGCACAAGCAATGGACTGGCAGTAGATTTCTGATGTTTTTGATTAGCCATCACCATAACAAACCAAAAAATTGCATACAGAAAATGAATAGCTAGCTGCAAATGTGAGGTGAATAGCTAGTGAAGAGACACAGAATTGAGTAGTACAGAAACAGATGAGTAGAAAATGTGCTTTCCTCCTCCCTCTTCCCAAAAACACTCGTATCTTGAGCTTCTAAATGAGTTTCTGTAAAATACACTGATGACTAGTACTTGGGTTTGACATTGTGAGGAAAAGAAAGGCATTAGCCTCACTAAAAGTATCTTGCCTGAAGAGTTCAAGGCCAGTGATGAGAAGATTTACTCTTTGGCAAGAAGAAACAACTCAACCTGGGTAAAAAAAGACCTCTGCAGAGTGCAATGATAAACTACTCAAGTTTCACAGACATATTCTTATTTACTTGTGTAAATAACTAACAGTGACCATGTGTTTCATGTGATTTAACATCCAGTAAAATTCCACAGTTCACCAATAAAGCAGGTGGAGAAGCAGGCTCATGTACAAGGGAACAAAACAGATGTCCAGTTAGATAACCATCTCTGATGATAAGCAAATAACTACTGTAGGTTACTTCTGGGAATAAGACTTTCTGTAAAAACTTCCCAGCTTGAGACATCTGTTCGTTTTTCATAATCACTTACTATGCAATCTTAAATCCTCATGTACATTAAAGCAGTGATCATACCACTGAGACGTACAAGTTTTCCCAAGTAATCCAAAGTCTTGATATGAACATGCTAATAATCTAATAATTTTCTCTTTGGATTTCCATCCACATCTTTTTTTAAAGTTGTGAACAAGAAGGAAAAAGGTGAAGATTGTGGTTACATTTAATAAGCAATTAATTCTTATCTTTGAACTTCAGCTGACACATTTCTATACAGTCAGCTGTAGCACTTTTCTAGCTGACTTCAGCAACACAGTCCAGACCCCATCCTCTAAATGTCCACAGGTTTTAATTCTCATGACTAAGCAACCCTACAGACTTGAATTTAACTTGGACATGGGTCTACTCAACAGGTAATGTTAAATTAATTCAATTGCTTCTGGAACAAGATTTACCTTGCTAGAAACATGTAAAAATGTGAAATTTAAATATTCAAAATACTGCTTGCCTCAAGCCCTAAGAATGCTTAGCAAAAAGTATAACTAGAAAAAAGACATTGGTATTTCAAGTTGGAAGAAATATTTGAGTGTTGGACAAGAAGGCACAGTAAAGGGAATAATTTTTGTTCACAGACAAAATTAGTCAATAAAAACATTTCCTAAGCTAAGGAGCTTTGTTTTTAGTTTTCAAACTATCTATACAAAATACAAAAAAGCAGCTTTAATACGGTCAACCTCAGATTGCATGTCCAAAACATGCCTCAAATAGCACAGATATTCATTTTATAATTAAGAGGAAAGGATGGTAAGTTAGCTCATTGGTAGTTTATTTCAAAATCTTTTGAAGATTAATATTCATAGGTGTAAAGTAGTATAAGTTCTAGAGTCAAGAAAGACTCATGCATCCCTTTCTGAATTACAGATAAAGATGAAGATTTGCCTCAATGGACAAATGCATCTGTATGATCACTGAAAAATCCATTCAAAACTAATTAGAAACAAATTCACCCAAAGCTTGGACTGCACACCTATATATTCTAAAATAAATTAATTCCCTTCTTTCCTGTCCTACAGTTTACTTCTTTAATGACCTCGACTTATCTTCCACTAATTAGGAGAACAGTTGTCAGGTTCTAGCTTTCAGAGTATGGATGATGTTGCTACTTTTATGTAAGATCCGGTTCTGCAGTATACTGGAACTGCTCCTCCAGAGAAGGTATTTTTACATAAATTTTATTAACAAGAAATGTTTGTTTCCTTAATGCAAACTGTGTATTCTCTTAAAACTATTCAGGTTTGACAATTATGTCCTATGCAACTCTGGTCAAAGAAACATGCAAGGTCTTGAAGCCTCTTTAATATTTACCATACTTTAAAACAGAAAGCTTTTAAAAAGGACCATAAACTGGAGACTTGTGGGAGCAAGCTGTCCAAAGAACTGCCTGGAGAACATTATTAATGCAGGGTAACCATGACCAGTTCATCATACATTCAGCTTGAAGCTTCTACAGCTTTTACACCTATTCACTTGAACCAATCAGTGTTCCTTGAGCAAGGAAAGTGCAAAGCAAACAGATATAATACCATTTCTTATGCATGACAATTTTTAATATCTACAAAAGACTTGAAGAAACAAAACCCTAAAGTTAAGTTCTGAAATCCAAAAAAGGCACCTTTTTTTTTTTTTCATTTGGCCTTTGTGCTTTCACGTCACAGATTAAAAATTTGAATACAGGTGAAACATTATTGAAATCAAAATTCATTAAATAAGAGTTTAAATGCTAGATCACAAACTTTAAAAACAATACTATTAAAAGTGGTTTGCTTCAATTGTGTATTATCTTAAAGTCAAACAAATTCACATTTACTTAATGACAAATTTTACTGCATTTCTAACTGAGTATCTATCTTCAGAAATACACTTCTCATGGTTTTTATCAGACAGAGTTTATAATTAAACGATATTAAATGATTAGAACAATTTGTTTGGGTTGAAAAGACATTACAAAACAAAACACTTAAAATTATTGAACAAAATATTACAGCCAAGTATTTTAGATATTTGAACTTGCCTTTTCTGGGTCATGATTCAAAGACTGTGATACTTGCCAAGAAGGTCAAAAAAGGCTAACAACCCTCAAATATGTTCTTTTTCTTTTTAAAGCAAGGCTGCAACTGCAAAAATGGATAGAGTTAAGTAGAACAAAAATCTTGAAACAAATTTATTATGAAGTGAGGTATGGTAGTGTTGAAGTGCTACAGTGGATTTGTGCATATTCAAACTTATTTCAGGTCAACTGCTTTGAAGTTTGAGATCAGCAGACTGTGACTGCTTGTTTCAATCTTTCATTATATGACCCTTTGCAGATGTCCAGTGGCCACAAAGACGATACATTCAATTGAGCAAAAACTAACATGATCAGATATGAATGAGCATATCTGGCAATTTAAAAGGCAAACTGTAAGTAAAAATGCAAGCATACAACTTATTCATAATAAATACATTTTCAAGCATTTGACATTATCAATATTTTTAAAAGAATTTAAATAATAAATGCAACTATTTTATACATAACTGTACCATTTATTATACACACAAGTATATCAGTTCCCTTTGTTTACAAAGGCTGGTTACAGATATATGGAATGTTACAGTACCATCTTGCATAAAATTTTAGTACAATTCATACTTCAAAAAAGGGTGCAAAACACCAGCCTAATAAATCTGACTGAATTGAAATATTTTTAATTACATCATTAACACATACACAACAAGCTGTACATAAGCCCACTTTTCAATCACCACTTCAAGATACTGTAGCAAGTACATTAGATTATAAATGATTCTGACTAGTCAATTATATTTATTAAAGGTTTGCACTGCTACTCACTCTGGAACCTTTGAGATAAAGCCTGTATTCACGACTTACTGAGCTCTTGTTAATACAGTTAAGAGGCAGTCAGTATTGTTGCCAAAGTACTAGTCACAAGAGATTTCCTCAGAGAAACTTCACCCAGGAGCAAACATTTTTGGATAATCCTTTCAAGAATAAAAAAGAAGTTTTATGGGGTCAAGACTCTCCATTCTGTACCTTGGCTGCTGGTGGATGCATGAAGTCCTTAAAGGGAACCAGTGCCTCCTTCAAAGCAGAGCACACTTCTGAGGATGAGCAGGTGATACATTCTACTAAAGTCGGGTACAAGGCAATAACTTGTGCCCATGTGCTAGAATCAACTGCAGAAGATTGAAGAAAAGAACAGACTGAATCACTTACCACTCTCTAAACACTGACAACAGATTTTTTCCAATACCTCTAAGTAATGGCAAATTCAGTGTGCCTAAACACAGGTATTTAGTGCTATACAGACACTATGGCATCCACGCAGGACACTCAGATACGGGCCAGGATTTCTGCAGGAGAACCATTTGTTTTTTCAGCTGCAGCCAGAGGCCATGTGGGATAATATCCTTAAAGTGGTGCTACACACCTGTGTTTCTACATATGAGTCATTCACTGTGTCTTTGGAATGCAGAACTGACAAATTTAAGATAATACTTCCATCTGTAATACATATGTTTTCTGCCTGCTTTTCTCAGCTATTGACAGAAAATTGAACTGGATGCACATTTCACTTTCGGAAAATTGTCAGCAATGAGACTTTCTACTGATTTCAAATAATTTCAGATTATAAGAGCTATGGAAAGCAAAGGTAAAAACACCAAACAAAGACAAAAAATATCCATCGTAAAGTTTTGTTAGTCCAACAAGTAAAATTAAACATTGTAGCATGATTCTTATAATGTCACGTCCTTGCTTACTTCTGTTTTAGCTCTGCTTTCAAAAGAGAACAAACCCATGGCTTCAGACAACATTAACAATTATCTTAAATAAACAAAATTATTAGAAGGTAGAAGAAGTGGGAGTGAAATGATTCTGTAATTTGTCCAGTACTTCTCTTTCTAAGAAAGTGTGTGGGAGGTTTGGCAAGCACTGCTGCATAGGGACCAGGGGAAGAATGTCTCTCATTGCAGGAAGAGGGATGTGGGGAACAGTCCAGCTGAGTCGGCTTCTCTACTCCTCTAAGAGGAAGACCCACCAGAGTAGCACTTCAGTTAGCTTCAGGGTTAGCCAAAAGGCTTTATGCATCCTGGCATAGAGCTCTACCTGCACACTTTGCCATGAAACATGGAAACCACATCATCATAACCCTGGCTGCTCAGCGATGATGCAAATGAGGCACTGCCTCTTTCCAGAAACCCACCTGTGTTTTCCTGGAAAGGCTGGTTTGTTTGTTTGTTTCAGGATTAAAAACGTTTTGGGTTTTTTTTTTTCCTATTCCTCCTAATATGAAATGCAGGGAGGTAGAGGGAGATGTTGTATACACAATTCTGTCAGAATTTCAGAGTCCAATACAGTGGACTTAACCAAGACTCATGATTAAGTTTCCTTCCAAGAACTCTCCATGTATACCAGAGGTGCAGCTTACAGGAGGAACAGGATAGGTAATTTTAAATGAAGTTGAGGTCTTTCATTTGATTCAGCCCTTTAAATAAATCTGTCAACCATTTACTCAGGCATCAATGAGAGAAGCTCAGTCCAGAGGACAGAAAATAATAGTGCAGGAAGAGAGGGAAAGCAAGACCACAAGTGTAAATATCTAGCAGCCTGTCCATGCATTTAACTTACACCCCTTTAACTGCAGAGTGCGCCTATGTGAACATGAACCATACAACATGAACCTAAAAAGGTATCATGAGAAGGAAAAAAGGATCCAGCCAGGCTTCATATATTTAAGAATTCCATTAATATTTTATAGAACATGTTTTTTTTTCTTTGTTTTCAGAAGACACTAAGCTTTACCTAATAAAGGACACCATAAATTTAAGTTTTCTCTTTTATTAAATATATCTTAGGTCCTTATACTTTTAGTCATACTGGAAAGATTTTGTGGGGTTTCTTGCCAGCTACCTCTCACCTACATATATGAAGAATTACAGAATAGTGACTCTTACAGAGTACACTTTTCTTTCCAATTTCTGTGAAAACTACTAAAGAAAATAACAAATACATCTTTGGGGCAGACATAATGTTACCTTGTTTTGAACAATGTTATTTAACAATAACTTACCATTTTCAGGTTGAGTCTTTTTAAGTGAATCTATGAGAGTACTGACAGCTTTTAAAACAAATATGATTTCTGTTACTTGCTGCCTACAGATGAAAAAATGCAAACAGTCAACTTTTCATTTTTGTTTCAAGAATGTAAGTTTTATAGAAAGTTTCCCACTATCATTGCTGTTGTCTCATCTAGGACAGCTTTAACTTTGATACTGGAAACAGTAACACCATACAAATCTCAATCTGAAACACACATATCAAAGTACGTGATAAGGCCAAAAAAGATAATCAATTTCCACATTAATGATCAAAACCTTCAAAAGCAAAGTGAATTTCAAATAAGTTCCCATTTTAAAGAATTTCTTCATTTTTTGATCTAAGTTTTCCACTTCAAAAACAATTATTTGAGTAATGATTCACAATATTGCTGTTTGGATGTTTTATTTTTGAGGCGATTCTACTCAGCTCTCAATTTAGAAACTACACATAGCTCTCCTGGGAATAAAAGGAAATCAGATTTACGAAATACAGTGCTGGAGATAGCAGAAATATTGTTTTCAGTAACTGAAAACTGTTGTAACAGCACAGAAGATGACCATTGTTACTTAAAGGTTTTTCTAAAAAAACTGAGTACCAGCACTTTCTTTGAAATATCTTCCCTGTAAACATTTCCCTGCCTTTTGAATTTCATTCTGTCACACCCCCCTCATTTTTTTCATGACTAAATGATATTTTGAATGCAAACTTCTTCTCATAAAGTCCTGGTAATACCCTTATTTTCTAAAAACACATACCGTGGAAGAGGACATTTGCCACTCAATCTCTCATCTTCTATGTAGCGATGCAATACATCCTGTGACCTTTTCAAGAGCACAGAAAGTGCCATTCTAGAGATGTAGCCTTCTTGAGGAGTTGTAACTTTATTACTGAATGAAAACTGGAGCAGTGTTTCAAAACACACCTTAGAAAACTCTTCTCTCATTCGAATATCTATTTCAGCTTCTGTCAAAGTAAAATGATGCATTTCAATTGTTCAGTGTGCATGATGCTGCATTTCAATCAGTTTATTATATGCTGAGAAATGGTCATCACTCCTCTAGTATTAAAAAATATTAACAGTAATAAGAATAAATATTAAGAACACATTCTAAGAAAAAATGACTGTGCAAAAATCACAATAGTTCCGAACATAAGATATGAATTATGACATATTGTCTGTAACATGTCATATACCTGACACTGCTTTAATTATAAAATACATTAAATAATCTAAAACCAGCAAACAATCCTACATCATAAATACTCATATTTGGTACTGTACAATTTAAGTATTTTTCTATGTAATGGCTTATGTTCATTTTTTTTCATCTTTCCAAAAACCCCTAGAAATGTTTTTTATTAAAGACAGAGAAGGTATATGGCTATACCTAGCCATAGTTACACTAAGGTCATTCAGGTTTTAAGAACAGGATGTCTGTCTTACAATTGTCTGAAATTACTATTAGAACTGGCACAAAGGAAAATGAAATATGTAGAAAGTAATACAAGTACAATATTATATATGACACTGTCCAAGCAGTAAGGAAGTAATTTTCAAAAAATTGCAAGGAAAGCTTGGCAAAAAATACAAAATACAATTTATAAAAAAGCTGGATATCAAACAGTCTCTACTGAATACATGCCAGGGAACTTCAAGTCTATATCATAATAAGTACTCAACATTTTAATTATTTTCTAGTAGATTTAAACACTGTAATTTTTGTCATTCAAGTACCATACCTGTAAAGGAGGATGACTGAGAATGTATTGAGCCTTTATTGAGCATAGTCATTATCTGACCAACAAATTCCTTAGGAATAAAATTAGCATATGGCAATATCTCTGTGCTGATAAGCTGCACCACCTAAAATAAATTACATATATTATATTGGTTTTCTAAATACTAAAACTGTAAATCTAGTATGAAGAAACATTTAACATCTAAACGTGCTTAAGGCAATACAAATTAACAGAAATGCTCTCTATCCTTGTCTTGATGCTCCCATTCAGGAACAAAATGGGTTTAGATCTCCATAAATTAATGCATCAGATTTGAGATTCTGCTCACTGCAGACAGAACCACTCACTTTTCATCCAGATATTTTTGTGTCCCAGCTACCCCTCTGGAAAGATGATGGGATGAAACCACAGATACTACCATGTCTTCTCTGCAACTCCTTTTGCTTTGTACCCTTAATCTCTGTTCTGCCACATTTTTTTGTCCTGGAGTGAAAGGAGAGAAGTCCCTCCTTACTTCAGGTATCATCTTCTCCTAATTTTCTTCAGCCTTATGCAACCAACCATACAGCCATCTCTGCTGCATGAACTACACACAATTTCTACATTGATGCCAAAGCTTCTCAGTATAGAGAACATATCTTAAGGGCAACAATGTCTAAGAAAAAATGGCTTTCTGCTGACTGCCCCCTCAACACAGAAAGCACTCATTTCAGGTTTAATTGTCAGCTTTCTCTCTGGTCTACAATTGCCAGTGTAAATGTTCAGCAATATCATAATAAATAAGGATACATAATGAGTTAGAGGTAGAAACATATTATGGTTTAGCCAGTCTATACTGTTTCGGAGTTGAGATGACAAGAAGTAGTTTTTGGCATCTCACTTCCTACTTTTTGCATCACTCTGAAGCAGCTGAACTCTGGACCTATGAATTTCCTGTCTTAGTTTCAAAAATGAAAACAGTATCACAGAAAAAGTAATGAAAGGGTAACTTTTAAAGAAATTATTTCAGAACAAAATGCAACTTGTGAATGTCACTAACTTGTTAATTTTAACAGTATTATTTGTTTTAGGCTCCTTACCTCAACATCAATACTCTCATTCTTCTGAAATTCTTGAATTGAGAGATTATCAGGAGGTGTACTAAAAATAAACATACTGTGTTATATTTTAAATTTACAACATGCGTAAAAAGATAAGTATGGAAAAGTATATTATATTTACAGTTATTACATGCATCAAGTTGGTACTATTATATGGTAATGATTAATGATCAAAAGATCAGGTTGGATGGGAGCTTTGAGCAACCTAGTCTTTTCACTCACTATGCCAGAAAAATACTTTTGAGTTCAATGGTACATCTTAATTTTTTTTTTAATTTTACATTTTCTTCTACATTAATGAAACTTCTTTCATTAATGGGATATTACCATGTCCTTTTTTTCCCTGCTAACTAAAATGATGTATTTGTTCTCATTCTTAATGAATTTTATTAAAAGTAAAACCCCTTTTATAAACAATAGTTTTGAAGAAATTTAGAACTTCTTGGAGTTCTTCCATTAGATATATATATGACTTTGTTTTCAGATGAAATGTCCAGAAGTGATTCAACAGACCCCGTGGTGAGTAGTTCAGAGCTAAGCACGTGCACACAGGCAAGGCAGCTGCCCAGGGTAAGACTGCAGACCTGTGTCAATCTTGTCCTCAGAAGGGTACTCATCTGGCCTGCCTCCTCTGTCCCATTGCCAATTTAAATGAAAGTTTAAGAACCTTGAATGTTTTGAAATCTCATTCAAATCTGATTCCTTTAGCTGACAAATGTTTTGTTTTGAGTGATTTTTTTTTTCCAACGCTCCTATACGTTGCTGACAAAGACTAATAAGATTTTTCTTAGATAGGCTTTTTTCTCCCCATCTTCTGAATACTTAGCATAACACACTGAAGATCAGTCTTCACACCTACAGCTGATTTTCAGTTTTGACAGTTAGGAATGTATTCTGTATGTACCAATGTTTCTGCTTGAAAAATAAATATATCTCTGCTCCTCAAAGAGACTTTATGCAGAAAAACTCTAGATCACTTTATCTATGAAACGGACATGTGTTACATGTATGACATGAAAAAAACCACAAAGAATAAAATATTAAATTATTATCTTTATTACTGGGTTGTGTATTAGGGAGTCAGGAAGTTTGGAATTTTATGTTGAAAACACAGAATAAAATAAAATATTAAGTAGCTGTTCAGTCAGTTCCTTTTCTAACACACGGTTTTTAAGTATGCAAAATGTTTCAACAGTAATTTAAGCTATTATGATGCACAGAAATGCAGGTCATGTTGAAATATGGGAAGATTTCAATCTGGCAGTTCCTAATTTAGGATCACTTTCCGAGCTGAGGTGTTCAGGCTTTTCTGCCCAGTCATCCATATCTGATCTCCCTTATCTACTACAAATTATGGTACATATTTATTCATGTAGCAAATTATTCCCAAGTAAATAGATTTTTGTCTATGTGGATACATCTATCTAGGGGCCAAATGCTTTGCTGTTCCAGCACAACATATCCAAACCGTACCAGAGGGTCAGGAGCCATGAAAGGTAAGAGTGTGATGCAGCAACTTTCCTCAGTACAGAGCTCCCAGCCCCTGCCCACGGAACAGGGAGGGCTCCAGAGCCAAGACCTAACAAGCACCCAGAGTCCTGCTGTGCACAGCACTCTGCTCAGAAACATCTTCTGGGAAAGTACTGATTTATTTCCCTCATGTGAGCATAGACTTCTCTCTAATAAATTATATATATACACACACACACATATTTGGTGAATTTTATTGTATATAGTGGCTTGACATGCTTCTATGAAAGCCTCTGGGAAAGAAGAACAATATGAAATAATAAACACATCAGCTTCTTACTGAAGACAATTTTGTGTAAATTAAGTTATATGAAATGTATTAATTTTAAATGTCACCTTGATTTATGACAAAAATCAAGATTATTGAGTCCTCAGCCATCGTTTGCTCTAAAAAAATTTTTTAAAAGCTGAAACTTCTGTCTTGGAAGTTGCTAATGCTCTATGACAGTAACACTTTCCTTTTACATTTACCTGGGCTCTCCTGGCTATATTTGAAATTTCTTATTGTACAAAGCTGCAGAGACAATTTCTGCTGTGTTTTGTACTTTTTAAACATCAGTGAGTATCCCTTCTCATTTAGCCCCATAGCTGGCTTGAAATTCTGTTCCTATCCCAAAGACAGAGGTGGGACCATGCTGAGGCGAGGAGGTTCACTATTTTAAATTCAGCTATTCACAGAGCTTTAATTTAAGGGTTCAAACTACAGTGACCTCTTCTCTAATCAATGCCAACTCAGTTTCAATGCCAGAAACAATATTAGGCTATCTACACATATGATTTCTAGAATCACGGTGACTAGAAGAGTTACGAGTTAGATTAGAAAAATGTTTTAAATACTGGTTAAAAATTTAGAAATAATGTGAAATAATTTGTGAAATAATGTGAAATAATCTCATAAATTAGAAATAATGTGAGATAATTTCATTTTTCTACCCAATGCTCAGCCAGGTAGAAACCTGGAGAACATGCATACAAAAATAAGGCAATGTGCACTGGCATATTTTAATGAAAGCTAAAGGAAAAAACCCTAATCAAATCTGTTATGCAGTGTTGTTAGGAAGACTGACTGCATTAAGGCTTTTGGCGAGTCTTTTAGAGATGCAGCTGTTTCATATTTAGAACCATCCCAGCAGTGCTAAGTCAGGCTTGGAGAACAAAGGTTTGAAGAGGACATAGAAAAGGAAACCATTTACCTAGCTTTGCATATAGACTGGACAGACAACAGCACAGAACATCTAGAACATTTAATAGTGGAAAGTGAGGAGTATGAAAATATATCAAGACTGAAAGAAGAAAAAGAAGGGGGTTTTGTGACATACCATTGCAATTTCATTGAAACAAAGAGCTTAGGAAAAACTACAGAATGCCAGCATAAGAAAGTGGATTTTCAGTTCTAACCATATTCAGGTTTAAGTGTATATATATAACTATTCCTGTCACAAGGGGTGGCATGTTAGAGAATGCTAAAAATCCAGATAATGTGGTAATGGAGTTACTCTGTCTTACTGTCATCCTCTTGGGCAGTCAGCTGAACTGCATTTCCCAAATTCTTTGTGCTTCAGAACCTTTTCAATCCATGCTGGCCTTAGTCAGATTTGTACACTCCTGCACCTAACTTAATAACCTCCCTGTCCTGTGTGACACATTTGCAAGTTGGAAAGCCACCAGCGATGACCTGACTCACAGCTGCAGTAAAGCCACTTGGACAGGTTCAGCAGAGTTACTAAAACCAATTCAAGTTTACAAGTCACAAATCTAACTAAAAGCACTCTCCTCTTCTCAGCTATGGCTTGGTTAATTGATTTGGTGTTACGGACAAAAATCCAAGTAGTACCAGAAGTTTTAAAAAACATAACTCATTGTTAATACAAATAAATCAGGAAACACACCAAAACCAGTTCTATACAACCTGGCTGTTCTTAAATAAAGGATGGATAGCTGGAAAGTACATTCTCACTGCCTTCCCCTGCAACCTGAAGGATGACATGCATGTCAACTCAGCAATAAATTTTAGTTGTTACTTTCAAAAGAGTGAATAGTTTCTCTCAAATTACCCTGGAATAAGGCACCATTATAACTAGCATATGTTTTCTATTAGAATTACAAAAAAAATTGAAAGAACACACTAAATTTGAAAATTCTGGATTCAATTTCCTTACAAGCAGAACAACTACACATTTAAGAGACTAAGTAAACTGCAATTATAAACCACTAGAAGATAAAATTTAGCAAATTTCAAACCAAAAAGGACAAGTTGCCCTTCCTGCCAAGGGTAGTCTCACAGCATCTTGCACAAAGTGCAGGAAGATTTTAGCAAAGAAAATAAGAAGAGAATTACCTCAATGTGGGGAACTTCCACAGCTATCTCTAGAGCTCTCCTTACATCACAGCGAGAGAGATATGCTTCAGTAGCAATATGGGGAGGAGGAGGAGGAGAATGAAGAGGATGAAGAAAAGGAGAAATGACTGCTATTACTAATTGTCCTGACTAGTGGCATGAGGAAGATGTATTCCCTTTTCAGCTTTAATGGTTTTTAGGAACACAAGGCTCAGGCTAATAGCAAGAACAAAAACTAACTATCTATCTATCCTAAAGATACCAAGGGACAAGGCTCTAACTGTATGTAGGAGAACCATACACTTGGAAGGCAAACTGCTATTTAGAGAAAGATAAGCATTAGGGAGGTAAAAAAACCAAAACAACTGCAGATATTCTGTGGCCACACAAAATACAACTAATACGTAAAATTTATCTTCTCACAACAAACCTGGAAAGCATAATGCTAGTGGCCATTAATTATACTAACAGGTCAAATGATCTTGCTGTAGCCATGTGGTTCTACAATATACTGGCCTAATTTTAGTGCTTTAAATTAATTTAAACTTTGAACTGTCTAAGTGAAAAAAGTTTCCTACACTTTTCTAAGGACATCTTTAATTGTGATGAAAAAATTTCTCTAAAACACATTTTGTACGTTAAATTATAGTGTACACTCCGGTTGCTAAAGAGGCAAAACCAGATTTAAGTCAAGACAGACATTGTAAAGCATCATAAATATTCGCACAAATACTATTTTTCTTTTACCTCCAGAGAATATTTGCCCATACATGACAAATGAAAAAAGGTATTAGAATTAACCTAAGTAATAGCTTTTAGCAAGCAACACATTAAGATGAAATTTCTACTTTTGAAATAAAACTTAAGTAAAGTATAAATCACTCACTATAAATTAAACATATTTGTTATAGACAAACAGATTTGGCCAGAAAGTCATGCAGATGATAGTGGATTATCCCAAATTACACTAAAGAGCTGGGATAATTTTGCTTCCCTGAATTTATAAACACTTAATACCAAGAAATTGTAGCAGAACTAGTCTTGTTCAGCTAAGAACATGCAAAACTGAAATGTTTAATTTGCTTTGCAAATATTTAGGAATAATTAAATTACAACAAATAGTAATATGCACTTCCAAAGCAACTTTTAAGTGAACATACATTCTTCTACAATAACCTGAAAAACCTTAATTTGAATTCTGTACACCAAACAAGGATATAGATTACGGGGTTGTCGTGGTTTGACACGGAAAAAGAATTTTTCCGGAAGGAAGAAGTCAATTTGGACATTGACCAATTGAAGGTGGACATGCCTCTGAGAACACAGAGGGGTTAAAAGCAGAATTCCCAGGAAAACTTGCTCTCTTTGGTTCCGGTCAGCGGTCAGTGCAGGACTCTCCCCTGCCCAGCCACGAGCTGGGTGGGGGAGGGGAAAAGCCATGTGGCCTTCGGAGGTAGGCCCAAGGGTGGAGGGGCTGGAACCCGGGCTGGCCCCCTGCAGATGGAAGGGTGGAGAAAATCTGAGATGTCTCCGTTCCCCCCAGAGTCTCTCTCTCTCCCAAGAGAGAAAAGGAGACAGCGGTGGTTTTATCAGCAGTTCACCGCGGGGAAGGAGAAGAGCGGGGGGGCCGCAAGGTGCCCAGCCGGGCTGTGGGAGCCGGAGCCTGGGCAGCGAGCCATCCTTGGGAGTTGGGACTTTTAACCCTTCCTGAGAAATGAAAGCTTTGTGAAATTTTTCTCCTCCTTGGTTTGAAAAAGAGAGGAAGAGAGACAGCCTGGGACCCGGGATGTTGGAAGGAGAAATTCTAGGTGGGAGGAGATGATGGAGTGGCTTTTGGCTGGACTTTTTCTTGGTAGCCACAGACTGAACTGATCTTCTCCTCCAAAGAGAGACTGTATTTTAGGAGGATGCTGGTGAGCCAAAGAGACCATGCTTCAGCTGGGAAAAGACAGAAGTGGAGCGAACAGGGAAAAGTTAAGGAGGTTTGTGGTGGTGCCCCCTGCCTTCAGAGAGGAAGAAGAGAAGAAGATTTCTGTTCGTGGATCCTTGGCCCCAGGGGAAAATGGGGGGGACTGTTGGTCCCAAAAATGAAAAACTGAACTGTTGTTTTTTCCCTCTTGGCAGGGCATCCTTGAAAGGAAAAAATCCTAAAAGCAGTCCATGCATTGGTGGTGAGAACACTGTGCATGGAAAGGAGAGGGTCACCACTGGCAAACTTTTTTCTCCGGGCGGTGCCATGTGGTGACATGGAAGCACAGGATGTGGCATCTGTGTTTCTTGGGGCATCTGTGGCACAAGAGAGACTCCTCTCTCCCTGCAGATGGACTGGGTGTTGATTATCTAGAGGGTGGAAACCTGATTGGGGTCCAGATTGTCTCTCACTGTGGTTTGTTGGAGTTGGGTGGTGGGAGGAGGAATGCTTTGGAAGGTTTTCATTTTGAATTGTGTGTTTTCTTTCTTCTTTCCCCCCCCCCCCCTTTTATAGTAGCATAGTGGTAGTAGTTTAATAAAGTTTTTTTCTTGTTATTAAGCTTGGGCCTGCTTTGCTCTGCTCTCGATCGCATTTCACAGCATTCAGTTGAGAGATTGCATTTTCATGGGGGGCACTGGGATTGTGCCAGTGGATGTGGACTGCCTGTGTCAGAATGGAAGCAAGAATACTAACTGCAGCTGAAAAGAAAACCAAGCAAGATTCTGCAAAGATTACTTTACATTAAAGAAACAGTGAAGCATAAAATAAAACCTGGGAAGATTGCAGTGTCTTTTATGCCATCATGGATGACCTTTTCTATTCTATAGGTCCTCCTACTTAATAGAATTTTCTTCCAAGTAAATGCAAAAACAATAGGAAGGTTTTTCACCTGATTGTCATGTAATCCTACTGATATTCCAAACCCATTCATTATTACATATTTTCACTAACGGATGTGTCTCTAAAATAAATTTTCATTGGTATTTGTTTTTTGTTTGCTTGTTTGTTTTGGGCAAGCTGCTATTTATCCATCATTTGTAAATACAGCTGTGTTTGGTTGCTAACTTTTGTGTGTTTCAAAACTAAACACACAGCATATTAGTGTAAGGCACTGAAGAATCTTACTGTTTTCTGTTAAAAAGAAAGATGTATTTGTTACTGAAAATCAGGGAATTATATCTTTCATGTTCCACCTTGTTCTTTATTCTAAAACACTATTAGATATAATTAAACTACTCCTAAAAGATGCTTGCCCCCAGATGTTTACAGAAGATGGAAATTCCATACCACTGCTAAGAAATTATCTAAAATACCAAACCTTCCTTAGAGTACCCTTAGTGTCTAACCTAGAAAATCTTTGCTGTACTGAAGCAAGTTTTCATCCATTGCCAAGGGACAAAAAATTCTTCTCTGAAGCAAGCTTTTATTATATTCTGAAAATTTACGATGTTTTGCTAATGTTATAGTCTTTTGTTTGAACAAATGAATAGATTCAAGGCCAGGCTGGATGAGGATCTGAGCAACCAGGTCTAGTGGAGGCTGTCGTGCCTATGGCAGGCTGTTTGGAACTAGATGATCTTTAAGATCCTTTCCAACTCAAACCATTCTATGATTCTATGATTAAACTGTCTCTGAGCATTACTATTTTTCACTTCTGGACTTTCTCAGCCTGCCCACTGTAGATTGAGAATGCGTTCCATTCTTGAGAGGAATCTGTCCATGTTTATAGTCATAAATATAACTGTTCAGCTACACTTTTCAAAAACTATCATAAATAAAGTGTGTTTAATTATTAAGGTGCAGTCAATTTAACTTAGGTAGAAACAAATACAACATAACTATGGGCTTCTATGTGAAAAGCAGTGTACTAAATAATTTTTAAAAATTCACATTAAGTGTAGTATTTCAAGATAGAACTAGGACAATTACATGTAGTTAATGCTGTTAATTAGAAAAAAATACTGTTGCAACTCTGTTCAAAGTGAAGAAAGGAACAAATTGTGTACGTATCAGCAACTCTTTACCAAATCCAGAGTAAACATCTTTGGGAGTCCACACAGAGCCCCCTGTCCTGTTCAGAAAGATTATACCATATTGTGAGTTCAGCTGAGCTCTTTCTTGCTCTTACACTTCTCCCTTTGATTGAAGCTTTTTGTACTACTTTCTCAAGTATAGCTTTTTGAAGTAGACAGATTGGTTACCTTTTCTCCATTTTCATATATCAAATAGCTCTACTGAAACATACAGTGAACAAATTACTAATGAATATTTTTCATTAAAAAATAAAAAAAAAGGACAATTGTGTTTACCTTTTAGTGAATAAAAAGTCTTCAAAAGTATTTGCTAGCTCTGGCCACATACTGTCAAATTTTCCGGAAGATGCATGCTGCCTTGCAACAGGTAGTCCAATGGAGAGAACTTTGAGAAGAGAGGACACAGCTAGCTTCCATGTGCTTTCAGAAGGACACGAGTACTTCAGACTAAGAGGTATTCTAAGTGTCTGCAAAATGAAAGTCAAAACAAAATTGATAGTTGCTCAGACAAATCTAAGCTTACAGCAAGTTTCTACACAAGAGCTCGGAGGACGGTTATAGATGGCAGCACACATCGCTACCTTTTCTGCTAGTATATGAGAGGGCCCTTTACAAATGCAATTCTGAAGATGATTTATCATACACCAGCTGGCTAAAGCACAGGTCTGTAGCCAAATACAATTTAGAAGTCACAACTGGTCCATTATCATTTACACTATGAAATTACACACTAATTTTCTTTTCTGTATTGCCATCCACTATTTCTGCTAAGTCTGACAAATGGCCTTTCCTAACACATAAGAGTGTGCAGGCAGTCTGTTATCACGAGTGTATTCCAGAGAATTCAGTCCCTATAAAGCCATCCCAAGTGCTTCTGCAGTAAAGAAAAAAAGCCTCATTGCATTTAAACTTTTCCTAGTAAAGCTGAACTTTAAACACTGGAACATAAACACTGGAAGAAATCTGGTCATTATTGACTGTTAAACCACATGAAATAAGAAAGTAAGGACAGTTAGTGAAATTCTAAGATAAAGGCTACAATACAACTCAAATGTAAAGCAGATGAAAGCACAGCAAATTTTAAGCCTTTTATATAGAAAGCCATCTTCAGTATCTATAAAACAAAGTAATTAATAAATTTTAAAGCATTAGACATATGAACTATTTACACTTATATGCATTCTTTTTAGTACTGTTAGTCAAACTTTAGAACCTGATAGTAAGTTATCTTGGAAAACCAATTATTTATTTGACATTTCAAATACATAGTGACTAAATTCAGGTACTGTATGTATGACCCCCATGCCTTTAGTGCAGTCTCTGATATGAGGAAAACAAAAGGAAGAAAGACTCACTCTGACTCTCACAAGGAGGTCAATTATAATTAATTCCCTATAGCAAAAAATTATGACAGCTAGAATCTAACCTAGAAATAAACAGAACTTTATTTTTTCTGCTGCTTTTGGTCATATGTGTCAAATCTAATTCCTCTCTAAATCAGCAAAAGATTTAAGAGACATGAAAAATAAATTTTAAAGCATTTTCATATATCACAGTAGATCATGTTATCAACTGCAAATGTTACAAAAAAGTGGTATTTCTATCAGTTTCACCAACCCCATTAAAACAGCCAAGTGGAAAACAACTCCTTTAACTTTGAAATACAAATATTTCATTCGCAACAGATTTCAAGTAATATCACCTGTTTTAAACACATTCAGGTTTCTAAATTTCTATACAGGAAAATCCTGATGTCAGTCAAGTCATTGCAAACAAGCCAGGTCAGACATATTCTTATTTTCCAGACTTCTGGAAAAGTGTTTATGCCAGTCTACAAAAACTGGGCTTTGGCCTTCAATGCCATATTTACTAAGGGGCCTATTTACCACACTCAGGTGTATAACACTTTCAAAGATTAACATTTTGTGGCCTAACACATTTGTTAATTTTTATCATAACACTGAGATACTGATGCTGACATTACCCAGTTAAGAACAGTACAAATAGATTAATAAATGGCCTTCCAGCTTCAAAAGAAATTATTCCCTGCTGCTCCTCTTCATAAAATACCGATCTGTTTACTACAGCTTGAAGCTTCCCAGGAAGCGTTTGCTGACACTAACTGAAAATAAAACTCATGATTTTCAATATAAGCTCATTAAATTCAGAGCACATGCAGGTTAAACTTTTACCTTAATAATGTTCTGAAGAACCTTCTCTGTTACCACAGCTTTGTGGCAAGCTGTCTTTTGGTATAAGTCCACCACAACTTCCAATGATCTCTCTGCAAATGGTACGTAATTCAATGCCACCCATTCCGCCTAGGAAAAGGAATTAGCAAATTACTAAATGATACATGAAAATATATTAATTAAGGAACAGGAAGTGTTTGTTTTGCACTGAACTCTCAGTTTAATGCATGCAAGGTTTGCTAAAAATATGGTCCAAGCCACAAAACCGCAAATACAACATAGTCTGGCTATGAAAATGTACTCTACATTGAAGTAAAGTACATTTAAGTAGGAGAAATGTTGCAGTCTAAGCAAGACAACTACATTAGGACAATCTTTAAGGAAATTTAACTCACCGGTGCAAATAGTTGTATCTAGTGTGATTCCATTGTGTTGCAGGACAAACAGAATAAGAAGAATTAATACATACATAATAGTTACCTCTTTGATTACACTGAATCAGATGCTCATGCTTAGTGAACAGCAGTGTACACAGATAAGAAGAATTATTGAACACGTTCCATTTCTTTACAGCATGTGCAAGTCAAAAATCTGAAGCTTGAGGGAATTGTCTCCAATCAAAAATATCATGTCTCTGTGTTAAATTTAGTATCTCTTGTAGGACAAATTATTTTAGATTAATTATTGTCCAAACTCAGACACATTTGTCTGGTGTTGAAGCCAGACCTTTCCTACATGAAGGAATACAAAGTATACAAGCAAAGAAAAATGCAAAGAGAGTAAAAGAAGATAAAAGCATGTAAAAAAAACTTATTACACAACATGCAGTTTTTACAGATTGAACAAATGTATCTTGCTGGACATGCTCTATCTGAAGCTGAATTCCAGCCAAGTGAAATGAGTGAGATTTCTAATTAATTACCTGATTATACTTTGCATTTGCAATGTGCTTTGTTTCCAGCTGTCCGTACTGTGGAGGCTTGCAGGAAAATTCTACAAAGGCCAGTAGCTGATCAAAGATTGCAGGATACATTATCTGCATACCTTCTGAGCCCACACATATAGCCTTTATCAAAAGAAAATACATTAGCTTAATATATATTTCTGGACTTTTTGCTCTAACACCTTCATCAGTACAAGGAACTCCTACAGAAAACTCCCCATTATAGGACTGTGCAAGAATCATGCTGTATGAAAGATCGTGTATAGTTCCAATAGGTTAAGGAAATTAAATTTTATTACTTTATTGAAGTAAATCAAGTTGCAAGATACCTGGGCATATATAATTCAGTAAATACAGGTATCTCATCCAATAAGAGATAACTTTTCTTCACAAACTCTCCTTTGACTTGTCAGTAAAATAAAGTATTACATAAGTCTTGTAAATAGATCTCGGCCACATCTTCTTTAAGTTCTACTTCAATAAACATTTAAATCTCAGAAGTAAATCATAGAAGGCTTCAAAAAGTAGTAGAAAGAGTGTCTTATAGAAAGGAATAGAAAAAAAATGAGAATTATATGGTTTGGCATAGCTAAAACTTATAATCTTGCTTTAAAATGTAAAACATTTCAGTAACAATGTATTTACATGACCCAAAAAACCCCAAACTCCCCTATACTACAGTATAAGCCTAGAAGATGCAGTAAAAGCCTAGAAGATGAGTTCTAATGAGAAATAAAAAGAACAAACCAAAGGGTGTAAAATGGTCTCAACATATGGAAGACTGAAAAGCAATGCAAAGATCCCTCCCATTCCCATGCTCTTGAGTTGCAATGATGTCCTTTGTTAGTGGAATCACATTATAAAATATATTTATTTAACTAGTCAGGGCTTAATCTGAAAAATGTTAGGTTTTTTTTATGCTATTCAAACTGCAAAGTTGTTCCACAACTTCAGAGAAAATCAGAACTGACCCAAGTCTTCCTGTATCAGCAAAGAACTTGATGCTACATGCAAACACAAAGAAATGTTTTGTTTCAAAGATTGCAAATATTTACATACTCTAATGCTTCCACTGTGTACTCCTGCCTTAATGCTTTCTGTGTCAACTCCTGAGAGTATCAATTGATTTCAAGAGAGGAAGAAGGTACTCTGGTCTAAAGCAAAACCATTTGACTCACGGCCTTTGCTTCACATCAGCACTGTCTGGCAGCCTTGCCATGTGAACTGTACTGTGTTCATGCAGCCAAGAGGAGCAATCACGCAACTTCACAGAACTTACTGATGTCCAAAAATACTGAAATGTTTTTAGGAACTTCAGTGCTGTTGTGTTAGTAAAATAACTATAGGTCAGATGGGAGGTTTGAGGTACCATCTAATGGAAGTCTGTATTTGCAAAGGCTTATAACTGCCATGGTAACCCAGTGACACTGGGAGTGGGGAAGGGAAGATGTCTCACTTTCTCATGTAGAGTTATTGCAGCTAAAACAACTTGACAAGAACAAGAGTATAATAATGTGCAGTTTTTCCCCATGTTAAAAACTTTAGTAACCCCTTCTTTGAGAAGCCCTAATGCCTGCAGCCTTTGGAAATTAAGATCATCTGGATAAGGAGACTGAAAAACAGAAAAATCTGAGATAACTAAATAGACTGATCAAATGGGAAAAACAGGGTTTGGGCTAGACTGACCTGCTGGAAAAGGGAGGACAGAAAAAGGTCAAGCCTGACTGGAAAAGGATGAAAATGTAGACATGACTGGCTTTAAAACAACTTCACGTTATTTAAACACCCACATACAAAACTGAGATTTAATACCAACTTCTATCCAAGCAAACTGAATTCAAATTTAAATAAAATAATTCACTTCACAGCATTTCTATGGCAGGAGTGGTTGGAACTAGATAACCTTTAAGGTTCTTTCCAACCTAAGTCTTTTTATGATGCCATTCTTATACCTCTGTTTTCAAAATACATTAATGAATATTTGTTAAAACCATCAGCTAAAAGAATGGCTGCAAGGTAATTATTCTACCTTGTTTGCATATATATATACCTTGCTCACACTAAGCAAAGGAGGAAACAAGACACTGAATTGCTGCTCGTTTGGCACCCACCATGCGTTCCACGAGCTAAACGGGGCAGCATCCTGACAGCAGCAGGGCGGGAATATATGGTCGCACAGTTAAGCAAAGTAGTCCTAACATGAAAGCCCAAAGGGAATGAAGCCAGGTCATGTACATATTTTAATTCTGGCATTTCCCAAGTAAGTTTATTTTGTTGGGGTTTTTTGGGGGAAGGGAGGGGGGTGTGTTTTTTTAAAAGTAGTGTTTAATATAAATGCATGACTTAACTCATTATCAACTCTGCTTCTTTTGAATAAATAAGTTTTGTGAATGAGCACTGAATTTTGCAAGGAGGTATTTTACAACTGCAAAAAAGAAAGAAACAAGCAGTACTATTTTCTTTTTTTTTTTTTTTTTTGGCTTTCAGAGAAAGAGCACCCTCATTTTTATTTCTAGATTTACTTGAATGAAAAGTGCTCTTTGAGCATGAGTTCTATAGAAAGAATTTCTTAAGCAGAGATGCAGCATTTTCCTTAAATAACTGATTAATAAGAGTCAAGAATGTAGGTAATCTGCCAGAAAACCTTCTATATTTTATGCTTTGTGTAAACTTTAAGCTCTCACAATCACTGTTTTTTCTAGACTGTTCATGGCAGCACCTGGACATCATATGGAACAGTTTGTAGGACTGCTCTTCCATCTCCATGTACAGACCTTCAGTATCAACAGTATCAACATCAACAGTACTTGAATATTAGATGGACATGTAAATGGCTACAAACACAGCACAACACTTAAGGTACTTCTGCAATCAAGCAAAAGCACATTTCATAAAGATAACACCATTCCTTTCAATGCAGAGCATCTATTTTGCAGCAGGAATGGAATCGATTGTTAAAATACAACACGCTGTGCAATTATAAATAATTTTATAAATCATGTTTAAATCACCCCAATATAGTTCTGTAGAGCAGTAGCAGTACACCGTGTAGTTTACCTTTCACACACTAGAAATTGCATTATTACCTTTTGTAAAACATCTAAAGCTGTAAGCACCGCTTCCTGTAAACTTGTCAGAACTGCTTCAGTGTAAGATGGAAGGATGAAAGGGGAAGCATCTGAACTGATTGGAACTGAAACAGCACCGTGCAAAATGACACCCAGCTTTTGGAGATCATCCATGCTGAAACCAGTTTTGATGTGCTGGTAAAGAGCTGGGAATATCTGAATTAAAGCTGTAAGAAAAGGCTGGCTGGGAATGAAAGTCAATTTATCACAAGTAATTGGAGGCCTTGTACTTTCTGATCCAATCCTGTACCAGCTGTTCCAGGCTGCCCACCAGAGATTCAAATCTTCAATCTCATCTGTTATTACAGGAGGTTCAGATCCATTATATCTTCCTATTCTTTCTCCTATGGAGTCAGTTCTCATGAATGATCTGCCAAGACTAGTGGCAGTAGCTGTCCCTACCACCAAAGGTACAGAAACATTGATGGCAGGTGGTGTCTCAGGTTTCTCAGAGTCTCGAACAGGAGAAACAATTTGTAGGATTTCCTGGAAGCTTTTCAGAGCAGCCAAGGAAACTTCATTATTTTTGCTAAGTGCTGCTGACTGGATGTGATCAAGAAGAACATCCCAGGCTTGGGAAAAGTCTCCTATTTAAAAAAAGAGAGAGGAGGGAAAAAATAATTTTGGAACTTGCTTCCTATTCCCATTCCCACCCACTCTGCCTCTCTAAAAGGCTGCTCATGTACTTGTTAGTCTAATACACAGAAATTTCAAGAGATTAGGTGGCCACTTGACTTTTATATATAATTTGATAGCAAAAAAAATCACATAATACATCCCCTACCAGTAAAATTTATTTTCTTCATTCAGTAGAGTAAACCAGATTTATTCTTAAACATACTAGATGCCTGTTGATGTTAAGAAAGTTTAAGCTTTCTTCCTAAGACCTTAAGGAGTTAGGGTCAAAATAATGCAAGTACTCATTTATAAAGAATTTATTTTAAAATGCTCTGATAATTGTATTGTGGAAAGATTTCATTTGAGGCATTTGAGTTTTTCATTAAATTTAGCCTTAACCTTCAATTTCCTATATTGCTAATTACAAGGTCTGAATAATTAAAGTAGTTCTAACTTTTTTATTCAAATTTAACTCAAGTTTAATATAGCCTAAATTCTACCACATTTCTGAAAATAAGTGATACACTTACTAGCTGTCATTTGTATCACAAATGACCAAAATGAAATACAATAATTTATTTAATTTTGGTTAATATAGATTAATTGCATACTATAGGATGCTGTAGGTAGATTAATCTAATGAGGACTTTTCTTTGTAAACTATATATTCTCTATTCCTTTTGCATTTTTTCCTTGTAGAAATTATCAAGACATTGAAAAATATTACTACATACAGCTGAACAATGTAAATGTCCAATACTCCACTGACTTTACAGATAAGTTCTCTTTATATTCTCAGAGTACTGTTAAATTTGACACTGATGCCACACAAGAGTTACAGGCAAGTGTAGCATTCCCTTACACAGATAAAAGGAAAAGCATGTTCTGACAAGAACAAAGAAAAGACAAAGTATTATTGTTATCAATCTACTATAATTTAAAGCTATTTATCACATAGAATTGGGACTGAATTGTGACTACTGAGATTTAATCTCAAGTACTGTGACAGCGGAAATCTGTAGTTACAATTTTTGGCTCTATGAAGCATGAATTAGTAATGCCATAAATTTCAAAACATTAGAGGCGACACAACAGAAAACATTTTTGAGCTAAGACTAAGCTTCTTGCCCAGTACATTAACTGAAAATAACATAAAAAAGCAGAAAGTTTATCACTGTGTCTTTTAATATCTATAAATTTTACCTAGAGGCTGCAGTAAGTATCTCCTAGTGTTAAATATTCTTGCAACTCCAGCCAGTGTTAGTACCCATGTCTCAGCCCACTGTTTCTCAGCTGTATCCCTTGAATGATGAATGAGAATGTTGCCTCCTCCTGATTCAATCTTCTCTTTGTCAGCTGTCGTAGAAGATTCTCGAACCCTATCCAACAGGTGAAATAAAACCTGTAATAGCCAGAAAAAAAGAGGAAAAATGCAACTTTTCAAATAACATAGTTGTATTCATAGCAAACCAACAAAAACCAGTAATTCTTTCATTATCCTTTCTGTCACTATGTCACCCTGAAAATTCCCTTGTTCTAAACAGTTTCCACAGCAGTCAAGATTAACAGTCAACTGATGGCCACTTGAGAAGGGATGGAAATAGCACACTCAAACCCACCAAGAACAGTGTCAGCACCAAGAGAATGCTAAAACCAGTGGATCTCAGACACTTCACAGGTATAATAGCCAGGCTCAAATACAGCCTAAAGCACAACAAACACGACCGTGACTTAGAACACAGCATTTGATAGTTCCTCTTGAAAGACTCAAATCAGAATGGAAAGCAAGGCTCCATCTAGTACCAGATCAGCCCAGTCACATAACCCTCAAACATCTCCATTTTCACACAAAAGCTAAGTCATTAATTTTTGTAGGAAGGAAACCATCTTTTTATCAAACTCCTGAACCCAAGTAATTAGGATATTAAAACTGTGTTTTAAAAGAGGCTTTAAAGCTAGAGACAACAAAGTGTAAAAAACATTCCCAAAATCTCAAGAGATCAGATTTCTGCCACCTTATGTTATCTTTAGAAAGTCCTAATAAATTATCTAAGGGATAATGGTTATTAAATGGTCAATGGTTAATAGAACATAAATGCTCTTTATAAAACCTTAAGAGGAAGCTTACACATCATACCTTCCATATTACTGTGTGCCATGTTGAATGTTGCAGTAAAGTTCCATGAGCACCAATAGTAGAAAACAATGTCTGCCCGGCGCTCTTTCTAACTGCAGGCCGGGGATCCACACACAGTTCACCAAGTTTGGCATACAAGCATAACCAAAGGCAGTCAAATGGTGATGCAGGATGGAAAGGTCTGTTCAGCAACACTCCTTTTTCTTCTGCCTGTTTCTGCAACACTGCTTCTTCTTTGTTTAGCTCCTTTTCAATTATTTCACCTCTTTGGAAAAAATAATCTGAAATATTCCACTACAAAATAAATAAGACATATGGTGTTGTACAATAAAAACAGGGTAATGCTTTAATGATCAGGAAATAAATTTCCTCTTATTCTCACAAAGTATGTTGCAAAGTACATCAAGATACTAATTTCCCTACACTGGTGAAATAGGATCAGCAGATAAATATTGCAAGGTCCAAAAATTACTCTTCTCAGCTTTTAGGATCCCATTATGGGGACACAAAAGATGCATTAAAATAAGATAGCGATGAACATGCTTACAATGCAATACTATTTCTTTTAGTAAGGCAGGAGCCATGGACATTAAAGGTAAGATGTGCTCACTCAATTTACCTATGATTCAAAATGACAGCATGGGAGCTCAGTAAGAACCCAAAAAGCTAGGTTGTGGCTTTCATTTGTATAACTGACTACAGGTAAGTTTTCATTTAAAAAGAAAGGCAAAAATGAAAGCCAGAAGCAGCATCACTGTAGGTTAATACAAAACTCACCAGCAAGCCAATTGAAGTTAAGCTAATATTTAGCTCTTGATTGTGAAGTCCAAAGCTTCCTGCAACTTCAACAACTATCTGCAGACAAGTACATGGCATTGTTGGAAGGAAGTCGGTCACAACGAGCTGAAGACACTGGAATGCAGTCCGTATTAAGGACTCTCTTAAAAAAACAAAATAAAAACAAAGCACACACACACACACTCATTTCACATTTCTTCAAGAGCATGGAGATATTTTGAATACAATACCTCAGGAGATAGCATTATTAAATAATAAAAAAAAATGAAATTAATGTTTTTGAGAAGAGCTTGCATCACTTTAAATGGGTTTTTTGCGATATAATTTTAAGTTGAAGCTTACAATTCTGATGAACTAGTTTTAGTCCATGTTAACTACCTAGTGGAGTTGGAAGTTTAGACTTTCCAGTGGTCCTTAGCTAATTTTACATAGTGAAGTCCATTTCTCTATTTTAGAGTTCTAAGGCTTGTTAGTTCAAATGTGTTAGCCAGAACATTCGAAAAAAAACACAAAGGACCAAAAAAAAAAAAAAAAAGCCAAAACAAAAAGCCCAAACAAACCAAGCTTAATTTAAGCATGATAAACTTCCAGATTATCTGGAAGATTAAAGATTAAGCTGTCCTGAAGAGTTTCTCATATTAGCAGTTACAAATTACTTCAAGAATGCCAACAGGTGGGCAAATTTGTTTTTACTTCTTAGGAAAGATGCACACTAATATAATCGTAGTCTTAGTTGCTTCAATACTACCTTATATCAGACAAAAACTTTTCAAAATATCTACCCTTAAACAGATCCTTAATAATTATTTTGCCTTCAGAATTAGATTCTGAATACAACCTAAAATGTACTACGAGAAAGGTTTGCAAGAAGGAATTCTCAGAAGAAGCAAGGCCATTTACACCTAAAATCTTGTTCAGTGACAGACAAAATGAGGGAATCAAAAGGAGTGGTGGAGTGTAGGTAACACAAAATAGGGAAGCTGCATTTAAATTTCACTGCAGGGTTTTTTCAATGTTTAATGTACAACAGAAATAACTTCAAAGCTTTGTAATACAGAAACTTGATGTCCTTCAGGATATATATCCTGGGGAAAAAATTCAGACAATAGACATGTCAGTTACCTATTCCAGAATTACAAATACTTTTTTTTTTAATTAATCCAAAATCAAAATCAGAGGTGGGTTATTTCCACTGTATTGTGGAAATACAGCCAACATAATATAGAAACCAGAGGAATACACAAGAAACTTCACATGGACAGTAATGGTATAACTAATAATTATCTAATATGATGAATACTGCAGAGAAACATCCATCCTACCATGTAAGATCAAAGTATCTATCATTGCTATACTGATGAAGGATGGACTCACAGAATATTTCCCCCATACTCATTAGAGGAGTCTATAAAGTGAAACAGACCCAAAACTGTTGCAGTGCCCCCGCCAGTACACAGTTTCAGAGGTATGTGACCTTCAAGGATTCTAAGTGAAAAGAGAAGGAGGCAGGAAATCAAAGTATAGTTCCACTACTCATTTTGAAGTACTGAGTTACTGTGAAAGTCACCTGTCTTTCTAACCTCCAAATGCAAGGCTACAAGAACAAATTCAGAACAGTTTTTCAAAATTAATTTCCCACACTACTATGTGCTTGAAGAAAGGTTTTAAAGTCCCTCATGCAAGTAGCAACAGTGATACAACTCTTGAAATTGTGGAACTGTCCTTGGTGTTACCGGTGACCACGAAAAGGTAACTATAAATAGAAGAAACTTAAGCTCGGTGAGAAATGTTAAGACTGTGTAGGGCTTAATCTATGCTTAAAACAAACAGAGGCTTTCCACTGAAAAAGTCTACAAAGACAGGCTTCCTTCTAGTTGGCAGGATAGTACTGTACAATCCAGAAGTGACCAAAATATGGTTTTTGGTTATCAAAACAGCATTTTCTATATTTATAAAAGCCTGGAAAGAAGTTCTCCAGAAAGGTAAATGGATTTCTGTCCTGGAATCCAGGATGTTCACTAATCAGAGGGAAGATACTGACCACAAGACTTTATTCACAAATAAGTTAATATTTAAAGTATGATAGGAGCATCTGCATCTTGTTCTCACAGCTGTAACTTAGGTAAGAAATTAAGTTCTTTCTCATGGAAAAGGAGGCATGCTTTATTTTTTCCTACTCTGCTTAATATGATGTGGACAAACTGCTATGTAGTTGAAGTAGATTATTCCATATACTTTATAGGAGGAGACTAAGATATAACACAAGATGTTAGTAGCATCTTGAGATATCGGCCAGTGAGATATGGGTTTGACATTTAATGGGGTCTGAAGACTGTCTTGAGAAGGAATTTGTGGTGGTTTTCCTTCATCACTAACAACAGTGAAAATCAAAAGGCATGCAGGAACACATTGCACCAAGTGTGGAAACAACAACTACCAAAGGCAGCTTAATTACAAAAAAGAGGATGCTCACACCCAAGAATGCCAAAATCCTTGGGAATTTTGGTAGGTCCCAGTGCAAACAATACTGGTCCAAGAGCAAAATCCTTCAAGCATTTGAAGGGACTTTAGGTTTTTATATGACCAGAAGACTAAAGCTAAGGTGAGACAAAAGGAGAGATATGCCAAGGAGAATTCTACTGACACTAGAGTTATATGATGACCTATCCTGCTGCTAGTCTTGACTAGCACCTAAAAACCCAGTAAATATGGTTTGAATGTGTGAATATAATCCTTGGTGCTTACAGTTGCAAAGGCAGACGTTCAATTCATTTCTCATTTCAAAAATACTCATTACAACTTCATCTCTCACTTTCCCTTGTGGGCAGAGAACAAGGCCACCTCTGCTGGCAACAGAGTCAATTGTGGAAGTCAAGGGATTCGCCCACAGTCAGTAAATAATCTTCCATCCTGCTGCTACCAGCAACCATTTAGGTAGGAAGGCTTCAAGAAAAAGAGAGAGCTATCAGAAGAAAACACACAGTAGAGTCTACTAGAAGATTTAAGAAGAAAAAGAAACAATAGATAAACTGAGCAAGAGCTGATTCACATAGAAGTATTGGCAAGCACCAGAGATATGTCCACCAGATGGTCAAGATCAAATTAAACAGCACACTAAGTACTCCTCAGTGTATACTGCATGCTGACTAAGGAGAACGTAGAGTGGAATAGTATGCTTGTCTTTTGGAAGATTAATTCAGTAAAATAAAGTGAGCTTCAGGAAGAATTAAAAAGTGTATTTTTGTTGAGTAAAATTTTTCACAACCCAAAAATTACAACAAAACTATGATTATTGAGATGGCTATTAAAGTACAAAAAATGTAAGCAGAATTTTTTCTACTGTTCTTACCTTACATGAGTTTAAAATTTTATTTCCACCACTTACCCCTGATCACTTTGGATTGCCCCCATGACTCCAAGCACCAATGGCCAACCAGGTCCTAAGCTGTCACCCTGACTCTGTAAAATCTGTAGCACACACTCCAACTGCTTGATCCTGATATCAGGATGACTAATGTTTGACAGCTCCTTTAGTGGATTCAATAAAAGCAATTGCAGTCTCTAAAAGCAAACAGTAAAGCATATTAAGAATCAGCTAAATGTTAGCATCCTTAAGTATTTTTATGTATGAGTAAAAACATACAGTACAAATGAAAGATTCATTGAATTAATTCAGTATCTCACTCACTCAATGCTCAAATTCAGATCATAAAGGACCTTTTGCAGAAAGTCTACCTTCCTGGCTCATGTTCTCCAGGTTCCTCAGGAAGCAGCTACAGAAGCTACTACAGGTACATAAGAAGTGTCATGCAACTTTATGCTCACTCAGCAGGGCTACACTCAGCTTCCTCCTCAAGAGACCATGGAAAAATATCCAATGAGTCTCAGTAAAAATATTAGAATGTTTTATTAATCATGGATTGAACTGCTGTAATTTAGAAGGTTGGGCAACACATTTTCTACCTGCCACAGCATCACATGTATACTACTAAACATTCTGGAATTGTTTTGCACTCATGGGGGTGACCCATAATTTGTTCTAAGAAATGAACATAATATGCAAGCATCACTCGTACTTAGGTATTTGAAAAATTAAAGAGGATAGTTCATTAGAATGCATGTGGTGGTACACAACAGTTACATCGGAGTGTTACAGTTACAGACTTTATATACTCAATAGCAAAGTTTTTTATGAATGAAGGAGTAACGCATCTGCTCCTAAACTTACTTTTTTTTTTTTTTTAACTTACCTGATTTTGAGATAATGGAGGATCATGTCTGAATGTCAGTCCTGCTTTAATGAGAGAAGTTAAAGCTTCTGCTCCCCATTCTCTCATTCTGGAGTTGGGATGCTGACAGACCTGAAAATACAGCAATGTTTTGTTTAAAGGCATTTTTATGTAACCAACATATACAATACATTAAAAACTGGTACTTTAATTATATAAGACTGTACATACTATAGTATAAGAATAATACAATAAATCTCTAAATGGTAAAATTTGGCTTCATAGTAAAAAAAGAAATTTATCATTTGGATAGACATACCTTCTGAATAAGGAAGCAATAGGAAGCAGGAAAGACACAAAAGGAAACCATGAAAATTACATATATAATTCATGTAAACAAATTTTCCAAAATGAATAAATTAACTGCTAATTCTGATAATGACTAATTAAAAAGCACCAAACAGCCCTTCAATAACTGTCTAAGACTCTCAGGTTTAACTTAACCTAAAACTACAAAACTGGAAGTTTCACACACTGCTTAACATCAAGTGAGCATGACAGTAGCCAACAAAGAAACTGTCTTCTATACTCTCAAATACAAAAAGTAACTACATATTGAAGACAAAATAAACCTCATGTTCCAGTATTTTAAAAACTTGATAAAGCAACAGTGAGCATCTTTAAGCTTGAGATTCAAATGCATACCTTAATTTCTCTTTGTCTCTAAATTCACTAAACCTAACAACTTCCCCAAATGCTTTTTTAGAATGTAAAAATTAAAAACATTGTGCATATTAATTTCTTAGATAGCTAGTATGAACTGTGCTGCATCTAATACATTACCCTCAAACTAATGTGGGAGGTGTACAGTTTCATTGACCACTATGCAATTATTCCCACGCACCTCTCCAGCCCTAGCTCTGACGGTGTGAGAACCCAGAGTCCAAGACAGTATCATAAAGAAGGCTGATGCTTTTTAGTGGCGGACCGTTCTCTTATCAACCACTAGCCAAACTGAAAAGGTGAACAATGTAGAAGAGATAGCTTAGTGCTTAAAAATGTGGATAAGAAATAGCCACTCTCCTAATTTAATTACATTTTAAAAAATTTATATAAAAAAAAGAGGTAATTTGAAGTACTTCATGCTCTGATTCTGTCCAGATGACCAGTTCTAGAACCAGGGAACACGCTATTCCCTCAGGCTGCGTTTAATTGAATCATACCTGATGTTTCCTCCTTCTTTATTGTACCTCAACAACTTAGGTTTAAAATAAAATAAGACAGTATACTTTGAAAGAAAATAGAAGACACTATTTCCTACAAAATAGTGGCATATTATCTGCACTGTATGGGTAACAGACTGAAACAGACTGCTCCCTAGAAGAAAACAGTCTCAAGATGTAGATGGTGAACCTCATTGTTTTATAGGGCAAAAAATAAACAAGAGAAAGAGATGCCTGTGCTTTAAGTCTTTAAACCCAGAAGTGTTTATTTTTTTTTCTCCTAGATAAAGCATATAATATGTGGCTTCCATAAAAAGATATGGCCAATCCTTGATACTGGTTGAAACAATGCACTGGTGCTAAGGAAGTATTTGATACATTCTGAATTCTGAGGAAGAAAAGCCTTCTCCTTAACCCACTCTAAAACAAACCCTGTTCTCACATTTTATTCTCCTATATACTTGTGTGGAGAATTAAAACTACAATTACATTCAATCACCTGTTTTTAGTTTTCAATTAAAAATGTAAGGTTTTTTTCCTTCATAAAGTATATTTTTCATGTTGAAGTTAAAGTGCTAAAAAAATTGCAACAGGATTATGACATTTTTATACTTGAACAATATTCTCTTAAAGAAAGCATTCAGTAGTTAGCTTAAATATTTAAAAAACAAGCAAACAAACAACCCTTTCTTAATAAATATTCTGGCTTCAATTCTAGGAAAATTCTATCTCAGAATCATTCTAAATATTTCTACTGTGTGAAACGATAAATTTGTGCTACTTTAATTAGAACAAATATATGAAGTATAATTACTTGATCTTTTTGAACACTGCCATGTCAAAAACATATAAAGACTGACAGCACCATAAAGACAAAGTTACCAAGAGATATTAAAATATTGTAATTTAAATATAATAAATTCACTTTTAAATCCAAACCATAATGCATTCAAGTTGCAACAATAAAGTGCCTAAACCAAAATATATAATTATAATTTAGACTTTTTTTTAAAATTACACATTAAAAACATATTTCCACAGTATTTTCATTAAAGCAAACTAAATTCTAGTACAAGTGATAAAAGGCATTAGTTACCTCCAGAAGATGCCCGGTCAGAGGTCTCCAAAGAATCTCAATCCTGCGCATGTTAACTAGTCCCGTTTCCAGTAGTTTAGCAACAGCAAAAAGTGATGGTTCCTTAATAAAAGGGAATGGAGCACATGACTCTGAGGCGGCCGATGAGGCGAGAGCGTTTCTCTGGGGGCAGCTCGTGCCGCTGCAGGCGCAGGAGCGGCCACACGGGGGCAGCAGGCGGGCAACAGCCGCGCAGCCGCGGCGCCGCACGAACGCCTCGGCGCGGCCCGCGCCAGCCCGCTCCGTGACGCGTTTGCCCAGCCAAACAGCCTTCTCCAACTCCAAATTATATGTGAAAAATCTGGAATGTTTCATTTCATCATAGCCTAATTATTTATCTTTCATTTGCTTCATAAATTCTCTGCAGGAATATGATAAATTTCCCATTCATCAAATAAATCTTCAAATATTTGTGCTAAGTTTCATTCAATTTTACTTTTTCTAAAATCAAGATATAGTCAAAATTACTGTTGCACTGAAATTATCTCTTTTAATTTCTGCTGATTTCTTACTCTAAATTTCAACTGATTTTAAGCACAAACTTGCTTATTAAATTAATTCTCCGTTGCTGTAATAACAAAATATTATAAAACATGTTCTCTGCCTTAAGTATCTCTAGTGAAAAAGATTAAGGACAATCATTCAGAAACTCTCCTCTGGGATAAAATTATGACTAGGAGAATATATATGCAATCTTACCCAATCACAGGGTCTTCAACCTTTTCTGGGCTAAAGGTTGTTTACTGAAGCTGATATGATTACTAACTACGGTTTTCCCAAGTAGAATATGATTTATCATGTTTTTAAATACCTAATTGTCAGGCTTTCCCTGAAGTACTCTGAAGAGAAAATTGAAATGAAAATGAGCATCTCACAGAACATACTGTGCTACTCAGCATCCCTAACCGCTGAAATTACAAGGGCTTTTAAAAGTTTCATCCACCCACAACCTTATTAATGGAAACACATGACATTCCTTAAAAAGTACAGGAATGCAGTGAGGATGTTCAGAGAATCTAGTAACTGTATGAACCATTGAAAACAAGACAGTCTCTGCTTCATATTTTATTTTTTAATCTAGAGCATCAAAGGTATTACTGGTTTTAGTATTAGAAATAGTTAGCTTAAAGAATAAATGTGCAAGTCTTCTGCCTGTTTCACAGAAACATCTAAAAAAGTAACGCTTTTTGTACCTTATTGTTTCCATAGGCCATATCCATGGCTTCCAGAGACAAGGAGCAAAGGGCATTTATTAAGTGATGTAAAGACACATCGTCAAGGTACCTGAAAAATAACTTTTATCAAAACACTGTCAAGTTTGATACACTTATTATTTTAATTACAATATAAGGTTTCTTACTGTGAGTTTTCAAAAAGCTTTGAAATCATGCTGGATATAGATGGCAGATCAGTCATAACTGCTGTAGTCAGAACCTTGAAAAAAGACAGAAATATGTCTTACAGATTGTAATAGAAAATACTATATAATCATTAACTGAAAAACAAACAAATCAGGCTTACTGTGCTTGGCCCTTCCACAGCTCTTCCAGGTTTTAGTGCACCCCCAACACTAGGCTTCAGTCCCAGAATCCACACTAGATGCTGAAATATACAAAAGGATCATTTTTCAGGCAGAGAAGAAATTAGCATTGTACTCAAGCTAGCCACCAATCTTCCAGACAAACAGAACTCAAGAAAAATGCTACTGTACTTATTCAAGGCAATTCATAGTACACCATGAGAAGATCCAAAGCTTCTTCTATTGCTCACTGAGCAACTGAAAACCAACTTATAGCAAAACACCAAGGCGTAACAGCAAGACATAAATATTTCCTGTGAGGGAAATATTACCTGAAGGGTAGCCAGAACAAGTTGCCACGATGTACCAAGAACTGCTCCATGGAAGTGAGCTAAGTTAAGTAATGTCCTCATACACTGGATATTTTTTGATGTCAGCTATGAATAAAAAAAACCAACAACCAAACAGACATCCAATTGTTATCATTTCACAATGATAGTGTTTCTAGCAAACTTCCAATTTTTACTGAAGTACTTTATATTTTGTTTGCATGACTGGAATATATATATATTTTTAGAGCAGTAGTTCAGTATCTCTCCTTCTCTCAGGCTTATCTTGGTGAAGCTGAATATGAGTATTTGAGCACTGCATCCAGCTCTGCAGTCTCCAACACTGGAAGGACATTGATCTCTTGGAGGGCCACCAAGATGATCAGAGGGGTGGAACACCTCTCCTATGACGAAAGTCTGGGAAAATCAGGATTGTTCAGCCTGGTAAAGAGAAAGTTTAGGGATAACCTAATTGCAGCCTTCCAGTAACTGAAAGGAACTTCCAGGAAAAACAGGGCAAGACTATTTACAAGCACATGTAGTGACAGGACAAGACAGAATGGGTTCAAATTGAAAGAGAACAGGTTTCAGTATTAGGAACTAAATCTTTACTGTGAGGCTGGTGAGTCAATGGACCAGGTTGTCCAGGGAAGCAGTCAATGCCCCATCCCTGGCAGTGTTCAAGGCCAGGCTGGATGGGGATCTGAGCAAGCTGGTCTAGTGGAAGGTGTCCCTGCACATAGCAAGTGGGTTGAAATGAGATGATCTCTAAGGTCCTTTCCATCCCAAACCATCCTTTCTATGATTTGATGACTGCCCTCTCCCCCCAGTTTCACATTATTACCCGACACAAGCTCAAGCACTCCAGCTTAATTGCATCATCTCCACAAAATCAGTCCATCTTAAGGGCACCTTCACACATGCACAACACGGCTGAGATCTAGAGTTTTCCAGATGGAATGGATAAGAACTTCTGAGTTATTACTCAGAAAAAAAAAACAAGAATAAGAATTCTTTGCAATTAGATAACTTTACTGTCCAGGGCTGCTCCAAATTAAAGCCTTAGGATCATAGTTCAGCTCACCATTATTTGTAAGAATGCTATGCATCTGTAGCTTGGTTTTGAGACACATTGAGATGCAGGAAACAGTTAAGCAAAGTAAGATCAGTTACAAGTTGTACTTACCATAACTGTTCCCTGTGGCTGAAGAGCTAAAGGTTGCCCTACTGCTACAACCTGCTGGTGAGACTCACTTGAGGGACTAATCATTTGAACATTCTGCCCCTGAATGGAATATGCTGGAAGAAAATTGAAAAGAGAAGGAAAAAAAAGAAACTGAATTTAAAATCCAGTACTTACTTGTAGTAAGAACTGACTTCTGGCAAAGAGACTCCAGGGAAATTTTTTTAACAGTGTTAGCTTTAACATACTCCACTTTGAGATCTTTGGCTATATTTAGATTACAGTGTTATTGTCCTAGAGTGTTAAGGGTCCAGCAATTACTCCCTGTTTCTAACTATTAGACATTGCTTGCGATACATTTATATATTTTATGTCAAGACTGAAATATTTATGCTTAAGATACAAGCATTAGAGTGTCTCAGTTCAGTTTTTGATAGTAATTGTGTGTAAATGGCATCTGTGTGCTGACAGTAATTGTGTGCAACTCTGCTACCATTCTACCAGCGCAGTCAGAAAATGATGCTGTCATCAATGTTGTATCATGATATTTTTCCAATACGAGACTCCAGGACACCAATTTTATAACTCAGTTGTAAAAAGAAGAGCAACCTACATAAACTAACTGATGTTCCCTGATTTGCTTTTATAGATATCTGTGTAGTTCAGTCATGTGCACTTCTTAACAGAATTAGAATCTAATAATATGCTTAGCTGGTACACTGGACTGAAGTAGGGGTCCTTGCTCCCGAAGATATTTTTGTTTTATATTAAGAGCTCTAATGTTAGATTCATCTGTGTATTTTTAAGGTGGTAGCTTTTCTTAGTAAGTAGTCATTCACTTTCAAAGTCAGAAACAGAGTACATCCGAAACCAGCATATATTATAAATTACAACATTCTCTCAAGATGTGGGACAGATTGATTCAACTTTTTGTAGGCTGCAGAGAGCCCAGAATTTATATCTTCTACTTATGCATAAGTATTACCATCACTAGACAATTGTAGATAACACTGTAGTACATCACAAATGCAGGATGTTCTAGCCAAAGCTTTAGAATTCAAGTTGCCCAGAGACTTTTTCAGATTTTGCCTTAATTACACATCCTAGCAGACCTTTACCATGGTAGACAGATCTCAGAATTTTAACTTTTGACATATGTGAATCTTTCAGGAAATTTTAGGTTAATGATATTAAGTTGATGAATTTTAGAATGACAGACAGCAAATGCTGCAAGACTAGTTCTGGAAAGCAGGTGATCTAGGTGCTGTCTGAGGATTCTAACTTACTTTAATATAGCCAAATACTACAGCTGTGTGTCTTTGGAATCACATCCTGAAAAAAATTTGGTTTAGAGGACAATATGAAGAAACGCAATTAAGAAAAATTTATATATTTACATTTGCTGGACAGAGCTGCAGTTGTGCTGTTTAATACAGTAAGGGCATAGTGAGGAGGCAAGGATCCTTTGCAAATGGCAGTGATAAAGGCATCTCTTGATGTTACAAGACCCAGTCTTCCACAAAGTGCAGCCATAGTCAATTCTGCTTTTAGAATATTTTCAGTGGCAGCTTCATCAGTGCTGAAAGAGTACACATTGTTCAACAAGAATTAATACAGAGCACAGAAGCAGGCAGCTAACCAAAGCTGAAAGCCATAAGAACATACACTTTAAACTCATTAACACGATAAATATTGAAGAACAAGCATAACCAATCAACAAAATTCTTCAGAACCATTTCCTACAAAATTTGACTTTACTTCTCAGTGACTTGGTAAATGAGACTATGAGAAGATATTTAAAACTATTTTCAGAAAATGGTGTTTGATTACAAAAGGCTCTTTGAAGGAGTCAATTAATTTACCACAGTAATTTCCTACTAAAAAGCTTTTCCACTTTAAAGATTAGATAGTACTAACAAGTACCAAGACATTACTTAGTCTCTTGCAGTAATCAAGACCTGGAATCACTTCAATATGTTGAAACATGCAAGCAAAGTAAAAAGAAATAAAGATAATTTAAACAGTTTAAATGAAACCCTTTGAAAACGCAGTTAATTGCTCTGTATTGAAATACGTTAAAGGTTGATGTTGTACTTCTGGAGAATTTGTGTCATTTACTCAGTCTAAGCTACAAACCTGACTGCTCAGATGCCATGAACAGCACTTCTGCTCACAACTGTCCATTTGACTATTATCAAAAGTCAGTTCAAAATATAGCTTGGAATATCAACTTAGAAAAATCAAGAGAAATGAAAGACCAGATACCTTGCGTCAAGTAGAAGGGATAGAGCAGCAAGAAGACCACACCAACAAGCGTTCACCATTTCTTCCCAGACAGCTCTGCTAACTTAAAAGGAAGATATAAACTTTTTTTACAGCAGAAACACAGTGGTTCCCTTAATAACTTTCAATTGTATCATAAACAAAACACTTGTTATGGCATCTCTGGAAGTGTATTTTTGTATGTATGTTTACACAGTCAGATATCTGCACATACAGAAACACACACTGGTATTATTTTAACAGCTTGCATTTAAAGTAACATTTCTGAGGTAGAAAAAAATCACCAGGCAATTCTTTTTCTAAATACCATCAAAAAACACCACCAAAATCCAATTTACCATGGTATATATAATAATTTTTGATATTTGTCTATAAAAATAAACATTCAGAAGTGCAAAAATATGGAACAAGTAACTCACTGGAATTTTGCAGTGAAGTAAAAATACTCTGCCATGGTATCTATAATTCTCCATAACTTTTTTGTTTCTTTCGTTTAATAGGGAAAAGGATACTGGTCTAGCAAAGGGCTAGCTGCCCAGCCCATTTGCACACTTCCCTCTCTCCCTGGGGCCACAGCAAGCCCCCGGGCGGGGTGGAGCCGGCACCCCGCAGCACCGCTCCCCGCTCCCGAGGCTCCCGAGGCAGCGCCAGGGACAAGCCCTCTGCTTCCCCCGGTCCTGTCCTTTCGGCAGCCCCGGTGCCTTACAAATCTTTCTGTACATACAAACCGCCTTATACAGACTCATCATATGTTCCACAGTGACAGTCCTCGCTTCACAGCAGTTCTGCCTTTAAAGAAATTCTTCTCTATATACTGCAATCTTACTAAAAATTTCTCCATTAAAATATTCCTTTTATCTTGTTACTATATTTTTCTTTTAATGTGGTCGTAACTCCATTTATATCAGTGAGGTTGTCTCTTGTGACCTTAGATCTCAGTGTTGTGCTTTTGGCTTAACACTAAGTCAAATATTTTTTTAAATGGAATTGCTGTTCCATTAAAAAAAAAATCATACTTCATTGAAAGTTTTTATATATAAACAAGAAACAATAAATTTAAGCAAAGAGCATGAACTTTTAAAATCTGTTTTCTGTAAAACTGTTGTATTTCATATAGTTTTTGCATTTTCAAATACCTAGTTCTTTCTCTGATTGGTCAGAAAGAGACTGCAAATCTTGCTCTGAAGACTGTGCTGGTATTGAAGTTGTCTCTGTTGTGGTCTGAATGACAGTTTCTGCCTCTCCCAACTCTCCTTCGATCATGGTAGTGATACCACGGACAAGATCCAGCAAACAGTGAAATGCCACTGACATTGCATAGCCCTCAGGAATTGTAGGTGGCTCAACTTTGTCCAGCATCTCCAAACTAAAAAATTGAAAACATGACAAGTGTGTAGCAATAATACTGTTTTTAAAAACAATAATAAAAAACAAGATTCCAAATGAATGCTAAGTACAAACAGGTCCCAAAGACAATCCTTCAAGATTTATTGCAACTCAAGAAAAAAATCTTTAAGTCACTAAGTAAAAAAGTAAATGAATTACTAAAGACAGCAACCAAAAGGGTACAAACCCTGAGTACAGATCTGCAAAAAATATTTCTAAAAATACACTAATACACATAAGCAAACATCATTAATAATTCTATTTGCAGTATTATTTTACTTAAAGCCACTGCAACAGAGCTTATTCAGAAGAATACAAATATCTAGGAACAACAGAGGAAACACATCAGGAAGTCATGACAGCGTGAACATAGTTATAACAATTCAAGGACAAGCCAGATATTCTATTATCATTATCTTTGAGTCCACGTGAGTAGAAAAGCCTGTCCATAGCTAGATATTACATGGCCAAATGCTTATCACCTACATGCACAGGTAAACAATGGAAGTTATTTGTATAAAGAGAATATGTCTACATGATTCACTGCTGAAAAGCATGCAATTAAAATATCACTATGCTGGAACAGCAGTCTCACAGCAGTCTCATTGCCACTTCTCCATCTTTTACTTTAAAAGCACATAAAGAACTACTGAGTTACAAATCCAAAAGAAATTGTAGCTGACACAGCAGCATCTCTACAACTAGAGAAAGTTGGTTACAAAAACTACCTGCTACCCCAAGAATCATTATTTCATCATTTTTTACTCTACAAAGTACTTTATAAAAAGCTACATATTCCAGCTAAAATATACCAAAGATACTTTTATACTCTAGTGTCACCACTCTTGTTTACACAGAGATTTTTTCTTCTCCCAAACATGCCACACTTCAGTTATTACCTCTAATTTCCTAAAGATAATTGCCTCATATCTGGGGGAGCAGGAACTACAGCTAAATCAAATGGTCAGCATTTCATCCTCTATATAAGTAAGTGTGACTATATATACAGGTCTAATTAAAATTATTAGTGAGTTTTAATTACAATATATTTGTGAGATAGAGGTCATATCCTTTTACTTTTGAAGATAGAGAATGCTAGCTACTGAATTAATTATATAAGTTGTTACTATTACACAGCAACGGTTGTGTAAAGTCTTAAATAGTTTGTCTATTCCTCTTAAAAATATTGAGTTCCTTAAGTAAAGGGGAAGAGAAGGCATAGTGGCCTGTGGAGAAACTTGCACAAAAGTATGAGATGTGGCCATTGTTAGAAAATCTAATGGCAGCAGAAGACAACTGGTGCTAGGATGTGATACATTACAGCAAGTCATCTCCTTATACAGAAGGACTACTGACAAAAGCACAAGATAGGAGAAAAAATCCTGCTGTGAAATGCTTGTGACATTATACAGAAGAAAAAAAAGCAAAAATTATGCAGAGAAAATCATAGAGTCATTTGAGGCATCCAAAGGTAAAACACAAACAAGTTTAGAGCAGAAGAGGAGACTATGATGGTGGCTGAAAGATTCTGGATCCAGTTAAGAATAGATAGCAAGAAAAAAGAAAAGGAAGAAAAGTGGAAGTTGTAGTAGCTGACCAAATTAAAAATCTGTATTCCCTGAGAACAAGCAGGTAAACCAAAACAACATTTATGTCCACTGCTAGAACAAAAAGTCAACACATACACATTAACTATTGAAATCTGAGGATGATTTTTTTTTCTTCTGCATGTCAAAGGCAGATAAAGGAGTTACTACCCTAAAAATATTGAGATCCAGTCTATTTGCAGATTCCACTGAATGTTAGTATGCCAAAATTTTATGGTGGTACAAATAACTTGGTTTGAAAGTGTTTGTCCCTCAATGGTCATGACTGACATGAAAAAAAATTGCACTATTTAAAAAGTAACATAGTATTTGCAGCTTTAAACTGAGAACACCATCTCGAGACACTGTACAAAGTCATGACAATTTGCCATTCTAAGGAGCATTCAGAATCTAGCCTTGGTATGTAGGTCAATATATTGCTTGAAATGACAACCAGACTGGCATCTACCACAATACCCTGCTCAACAAGAACTGTAAATACAGTAAAGCTGGTGTGAGAAAGCTATTTTTCATTCCCACTGATGTCCTGTTTGCTTAATGCCCTTCGTGTTTGCCATTACAAAATGCAGCAACAGGTATTTCAAAATTGTTATGTACTACAGGGAGGCTTAAAAGTGAAGAGTTGATACAGGTAATATGGTAGGAAAACAAAATCCAACTGATGCTAAAACCATAGGGGACATTCCAATCAGAATCCAGGGCATGCAGAAAAAACAGCAAAAAGACCAGAACACCTCATGGCACCAACAAAGAGAAAATTCCTAATAGACTTCAATGCTAGTGAAACAAAAACCTCAATATTCACTAGTAAAAAAAAAAAAAAAAAAAAAACAAAAAACAAAACAAACACGTTATCAAATTTAAAATAAAAAATACTTGTTACATACATTTTCATAAAGATAGAGGTACTCACTATGTAGCTTTAGCACTGCCTTGTACTGTTACATTCAGGATGGGTATCCAAGTACCTCTGTACTCAAAGGCAGGTAATACAGTTGCACCTCCACCCATTCCAAGCACTCCTGGGTTAGTTTGTGCTGAGCCAGTATTCCCTGATGCATTGCTTCCTGTTCACAAAAACAAAGTGATAAAACCAACCAATCTCATATTTGTGATCAACAAACATCCTTTTTCTTTTTCTATATTTAATTTTTGAGACACCAGGGTTAATCTGAAGACACCCAGTTCAACAACAAAAATCAAAAATAACACTAAAAACTATTTCTGAGCTCCCTCTGCTGTCTAAAATATAATCTTTTGTGCAGTTCATGGATGCCAGCTGCCTAATGTCCAGTCAGAATGTAATGTTTCTGGGAAAGGTACAGCAACATAGACAACATTCAGTGAATGAATCAAAATTACACAGTCTTGATGCAACAATGTATGTTTTAGTGAAGAGTCTGACAGATACTTGAAAGTCAAGGATTCTTTACATAGTTGTATTAAGAACTCAGTAGCTAGAAAGTTTAATTATTTCAATAACAAACTTCCAAGATGTCAGAAATGCAAAAACCACAAGAAGAAAGTCAAAGAGTATGGCAACATTTGAATCTGTTCCATGCCAAAGTAGAATAAAACAAACCCCATCAGGGAAGAGGGGACAATGTGCTAACCAACAGCTAGGAAGGGACAAACTTTGTTCCCAAGAAGCAAAAAAAAAAGTAGCTAAAAGAACAAGGAAGTCTGTATATATCCACTTCCTACATAGAGAGGGACCTCTCTACTTACTAAGGATAGGTCCCACAAGTTCAGATTCTCGCTGAAGAGACAATGAGGAGAGATAGCAGGGTCCCCAGGATAGCAACTCACAGTGCAACTGCCATTTTGGTGTGCTTGCTTTTAATATGTGGAGAGTAAGCTAGGCAATAAACTCCTAACTTAGGCAATATGAATACACAGAAGCTTATGTGTACACTTTAACACAGTAACACTTAACAGACTGAAACAAGAAATATTCTGCTAAACACATGGTTAACCAAACACTGCCACTAACACAGTTACATTGCTGTAATTTTCTATGATCACACTGTGTAGTCAGACCCATGCAATTATTTTTGTCTTAATCTAACTCATTAAAGTGGATGGTAACATTGCCCAGTATAATAAAAATGACACAGAACTTCAGGAGATGCAGCTTCCAACTTCTAGGAAACAGGTAGCCTGCTGCAAGACTGAGGCGCAAAAATCAAGTCTATAAGGAGTGTAAATGTCCAAAGCCAGACTGGATAAGGTTTTGAGCATCCTAGTTTGTTGGAAGGTGTCCCTGCCCACGGCCAGGGAGCTGGAACTAGATCACCTTGAAGGTCTCTTCCAACACAAGCCATTCTATGATTGCAAAAGACAGCCTGCTATGAGGGGACTGTTGTTATAATCAGAAGACTCAGTCTGAGACTTACATTGCATTGATCTGCTCTTTGCATGTCAAATATGGCCACAGGAGGAAAAAATGTATAAAAACAAATGCATGAGAAAGTGACATGAGAAGCACTTAGACAGAAAGAAAAGGAAAAAAGGAAACAAACTGAAATAATTATCCAGAGAAATAGGAACAGCACTAGAAGTATGACCCTACTGCAGCGCTGTTTCACTTGAGGCAAAATTTAGGTTTTTAGAATGAATATTACAGAATGGCCTCTCATATGTGCATGTTACGTGGTGAAAAGTGGTTTTCTGATTTACTTTACGATAATTAAGCTAACCTAGAAATAACACTGATAGAAACGTTCTATCAGCTGCTATATAGACAGCTACTCAACAACAGACACTGACACCAATTTCCTCATGCTATCACTGCTAACTCCAGCACAGGATTCCAATTTCATTGGTAAACAATTAAAGATGTGAATCTAAACCTAAACTTTTCAATGTTTCTTAATTTAATAGTAGATATGATAAGACAATAATTACACTTATTATATGGCTTTTATCTCTTTTAAGAAGACACCCTCACAAACTATTTTTACATTGTTTGTTGCTGAAGACTCTGCTTCCAGAACTACAGGAAGAAACAGGGAACCTTAACTTGGGATATAACACCTGCAAAGGCATTAACAGGATTTCTTCTTCATAAAATACAAATATATCTAGTGAAATGCCAAAACCGTGGCTGCAAGAAAGGACAATCAAGTCTTTTCAACATGTGTATGATTACAGCTTACATAAAAGACAGAGAACATTTTTGAAATACACATCTTTCATTCTGCCTCTTGGCTCCCTCACTACAGTTTTGGTCTTGAACATCCAGAAGAATTAGTGATTGCCTCCTACAAATACATGCTGTCTTACTACTTAAATTGCACACTGTCATAAATGACATCCCTGCACAAGGAGACAGAAATCAGACACATTTTTTATAGTCAGAAAATAGAAATAACTCCTTCGGAATCTACCTCTGAAAAGTTGTGAAACAAGGAACCTGGTCACTGCAGAAACAGGAATCAAGGCAGGAGCACTGCTCTGCTGACTGTCTATGCCTTCACCATAATACAGGTAGATAAAACCCCCTGCTGTACCAGAGCTGAGAACACTAGTTCATCTCAAGCTAGCTTTTCACCAAAATAAACACAGAAGTACAGAGCTGTACCAGAGCTGGATAAAAACAGAATTCATTATTACAAGAAAATGATGGGAAAATAAAATTATAATAAAGATTTACCAGTTTGGTTTGGAGTTGCTGATGTGTTCCCCGTGCTTGGTACAAGAAATAGAGACTGGATAAAGGACCCCAGTGCATTCACAATATCACGGAAAACTTTAGTGGAATGTTGCTTCATATCATATGACTGACAAAAAGACCTGGAAGGTATTTTATAAAACAGAAAGTATTTGACTAACTAACTAAGAATATTTTAACAGCAACTTCACCCCCATATATATTCTAAATTGTAGACTAAAAGCATATTTTAACAGCAAATATTTAGGTAAACAATAATATGTGATTTTAGGTAAATGTTCCTTTGACACTGCTATGACACAGACATACTCAAATAACTATAATTCAGCCCTTCCTGGATAACAAGCATTTCCCTAAAACATTACGCAAAATTATCATGAAGAGCTTATTGCATTTAAGTTTCCATACAATTGCAATGTTTCAGGAAGCATTTTCCATTAGAGAAAAATAATAAAAATATATCTTAAACTTTATGTAAAAGCAAAAGTCAATATATTTAATACCTTAATAACTGAGGCTGCACACAAAGCCTGTGAATAGATTCTACTGCAACAGCTCGTAGCCACTGTGGTTTGTCTGCATCCAGAAACTTAACCAGCAACGACAGAAAGATTTCACATTCTGTTACCTAAAATATATAGTTTATAATAATTAATAAAAAGAAAAATCCTTCTACAAAATATTTTCTGAAAAAAACTTCCATCTCGGGAATCCTATCACAGCAAAGATCTACAACAATCCCTGGAATGACTATTTACTCAGAATAATATAAAAGCACAACATTTTTGACAAGCTAAAATCACATATGCAATTGTACTCAAGGAGTTCAATTCCTCACAGACATTCCAATAAAAGTCATACATTTGCTACAGTAGAGAAATGAAAAATATCTTTTTTAGCAAATACCCAACTTTGGTATTTGCTAAGTATAAATTTCTTTATATTTATATAAATAAACTCAGGACATAAGAACAGCTGAACATGTGTTTTTATCCACATTCTGTCAACAGCTTTAGCAACTCAAGTCAAAAGCCTCTTAGAAAGTATTAGCAAGGCACAGTAATCATCATTATCTAAAGCGAGGCAAACAGAAGATCAAAAAGTTCCCAGATCCTGAAAGACAGTTCAATAAAGAAAAGACAACAGCTAATCTACTATGAAATTCACACAAGTCCATGTTAAACAAAATCAGACATTTAGAATACATGTAAACACAAACAACCTTAAGAGGAAAAGAGTATTTAGCTTATTCTTCCCTCAGTAGACATCAACAGTTCCCAGGAACTAATCACTACTACTACTGATCACAGCACTGGCATATACATAGAAAAACAGAACTGCATTAAGAAAATCTGAGCGTATTCTTACCAGCAAGCTGTAAAACTGTTTAATCAAAACAGAAACTACTCGCAGCAAACGCATACAGATGGGAAAGTACGGTTTTTCCACTGGTGCTGGGGAAGATGAGGTGGTGGAACCTTGCCTGAATTTGATATTTGGGGAGAAGAGCTTTATAACAAGAGGGCATACCCTTTCTTTAAGAAGAAAACTGAATTCCTGATGCTGAAAAAGAAAACAGAAAAAATTATATGTAGATATTCCTTAATTGCTACCAGTAGCTCTGATTATGCATCTTATTTACATTTGTAGTTATGATCAAGCAGTCTGAAATCATGTAAAGCTTGGTATAAATTACAATCAGGAAAAGAGAAGGCAGAACTGCAGACACCATTGTAAAGCTACCAAAAATAATGAAATTACAATGATCAGGTTCATGCCATGCACCCTTCTTGTATTTTGCAGGTTGAAACAGGCTGCTAATATATCACCTATAAATAGAAAAATTTCTTTAATTGTCAGCTAGTAAAACACATTACTGCAGGATCATGGTGCATTTTTATGCAGTAGATAGATGCAATTCACAGTCTTGATTCTTACTTCACAAGTGGGGTGAGGTTAATGTTTTTGTAGAAATAACAAGTCCACAAATTTAGTTACAGAGATGTCATAAATCAGGCAAGATAAGAAAATGCATCTCCAGAGGATATATAAACAGCAAAACCAAAAGTGAGACAGAGTAAAACAAGCAGCTCTACAAAATGTATAAACATAAATAAACATAAACATAAATAAAGTGTTTGGGAATTGAAAAACATTCAAAAAACACAGGGAAATTTTCTGTTAAAAATGTCCCCAATATGTAAAAGCTACAAGTTCTTCAGGAAAACAATACAATACTCTTGTTAAATTAAAGAGGATTTAATGAAGTGTAGATTTTACTACCTATGTGAGTAAAAGTCTTCCTGTTTTCTGTCCAAGAACTACTCACTTGTAAAAATACTTGTGGAAAATCATTGAGGACTGACTCAAGAAGTTCCAGGCCAAATGTCCGCGTCATTTCTGTCATACCCACGAGCCAGTAGGGAGCATCAGCATTAACTAATTGACAAAGATCCTTAGAAAGAAACACAGTCACATTGACATTCTCTGTACAGTCCCATACCAAGAAAGTTTCCCGAGTTCAAAATGAAATCTACACACTCTTCTGTGAGTAATTTTCTGATTTCAACATAATTTTTCTTTAGATACTTCCTTAACATAAATTATAAACATAGAAAAGACATTTCAAACTTTGCCGGTATCCTTGTAGCATGTGTGTTCATACCTACCATCAAAAATATCCCAAGACCCACAAAGTGACTTTGCTGAGTCAAGAAGATTTTTACTGGTGTGATGCATGCAACTACTCCTTTTCATTACATACTTGCCTTTAATGTCCAACACCAACCACAAGAAAAAGGACTGAACTACAGTTTCAGCATTTTGCTTTGTATTGGGTCTGGCTGAAATGGAGTTAATTTTCCCCATAGCAGTCCTTACAGTGCTGAGCTTTGCATTTGTAGCTAGAAAGGTGCTGATAACACACCACTGTTTTGCCTACATATGAATAGCACTGGCACAGCCTCAGTGCTGTCTCTCAGGATTTCCCCCTACTGCCACCAAGGGGTTGAGCAAGATCCTGGGAGGGGACACAAAAAATGTCATCCCAAATACACCAAAGAGATATTCCATACCTCAGTTATAGAACCTAAGAAATGGGAGAGGAAGGGAGGCATTCATTATTTACAATGTTTGCCTTTGGGAGCAACTGCCATGCATTCTGAAGCTCTGCTTCCCAGGAAGTGGCTGAACATTGCTTGCTGATGCACTTTGCTCATATACATGCAAACTTTTGCTTTTGGTTTAGTAAACTACCTTATCTCAACCTATGAATTGTTTTCCATCTTATTTTCTCTGGCCATCCAGCTGGGACAGGAAGTAGTAGAGCAGCTTGGTGGGCACTTGAGAGTCCGGCCAGGGTAAACCCACCGCACGCTCAGGGAAATAAGAATTTTGAATTTAATGCAGATACATATGCTTCACTATTATTTAAGATTTATAGTAAAACATTTTCCAAGGCCACTTGGAATCATTTTCCCATCATTCCCCTCTGATACAGTGTATCATCACCAATTAGAATAAATAGCACAAGAAAGCCCAAGGCTCTGGCTAAGGACACTGCCAATATGCCAACAGCAAATTCTTGAAATTTCTTAAAGACATGTAGAAGTACCCAGCCTTAACTGCAATACATAAATATATGCTCCCCAACTACCTGAAAAAGCATATATGCATCCTTAGCACATGGCTTCAGTGTACTGACAGATCTTCTGTTACTATTCCCTTGAACTGCAGCTGGCTGGTCAACAGCATCTGTGCAAAAAAACAAAACAAAGTTTTGTGAACAAAGGAGCTATTAAAAATCAAGTACATGTGTTCATATCAAGTACAAGTGTTCATACAGGAATATTCTATGAAAACGGCTAGGCAATTCTTCTCCAACTTATCATGTCTATAGAAAAAACATTAGGTTGACTACTAAAGACCATCAATATCAAGCACTGCTTTCCAATGTTCTCTTCAAAACTACTACTGCCATATATTTCCCACGCAGTAATCTATGGTACCTGCACTATAAATGCACCTTCATCTCAAATCCTTTTACAGTACTAACCTGAAGACCAGTTCTCACAGCTTGAAAAAAAATCTAGGTTTTATATATTACTGCACTGAATTGAACTGACATAATGGTGAAGGATTTAATCTCCTTTAAATACAAATAAGTGTAGAAAAGACAGTTCAAATTAATGATGTCTGGCTTTTTTATAAAATCTATAGACATTTTACTACTTCACTATCTGAAAGAGAAACATCTGTCATAATATCTAAAAGAGAAACATCTGATATGTGTCAAAAAAGCAGGTAAATAAAAGCAAGCTGAGTAAGCAGTATGCCCACCTTTGTATCGTTCATCTTCAGCAACCACTCTCTCAAACACCACAGTCACTACCTGCCGCACTGTAGCTGCCGCAGTGTTATTTGTGATATTATCTTTTGTGAAGTGCAATCGAAAGCAAAGTACAATTGCCTGAAAGGAAAAGTTACCAGAAAAAACATCATGTTACAACAACACATTTTATCTTTTAGCTAAGAGTCAATAAAGTTGATGGACTGGGGAATGCTTTCTGCGACAATTTGTCAAAAGGTTGTCCAAAAATAAAAATTAAATTTGAAGAACCAAGAATACGTGTTATGGATTACCCTAGCCAAAAAACTCTTTAGTAATCCTCCCCAAAGGCAATCAAAGAGTGGTATTAACTGAACACATTACAATGTGCCAATAAAATTGCAGTCATTATACAGATAATACACAGTAATCATCACACAGTACAACTTGTATGATGATTATGTCAAAAGAACATTAGGATTGTAAGGTTAATCACAGAAAGGTCAGTCAGCTCCAAACCTAGAATGTCATTCCCCTCCTACACTGAATCACAGTTCTTTCACAAGCATGTTGCCTTGACTGCTATTATTCCTAAGACATGCATTTCAAAGTGTCATTGTACTGGCAATGACCCAAATACTTTTTCCCACTGGGTTTACCTCTAACTCATAGTTTAATATTTACCTATTTTATAATGAATTTTGAAAATTAATATCTGTATGTGTAGTGAAACCTGTGTTTCTTGTTCTTCTGTCCATATACTCTATTCTGGCATTTTCAAGAACCTCAACCACACCCCGCCATAGTGCTACATGCTGTGAGCCATAAAAGATTCAGTATTTTCTCTTGCCTCTTTTTCATGCCTGTGATTTGTGGACTCTACTCAGATGATACTGTCACATTACTTTAAAATCTTACAACTGAAACATGAACATACAATAAATATCTGGCTGAAACAAATTTTCTACAATGTAATCTATAAGAGAAACTTACAAAGCAGAGTTTCACAATTCACAGATGGTAAACAATGTTGCTTCTTCAAAGAGAAGTAGCTTATAATTTAAATTAAAAGTGACTCGGTCATTATTTTTTTAGTTGAAACATAATATCCAAAATGTTTCATGCTGAAAACTACGACCCAAAGTTATTACCAAAGAAGCAATAACTGGATTGTTTTAAAAAGAGATTTAAGGCAGGGTGGAAAGCAACTTCTTTTGACGTTTTCTGTTAGTGAGAGTGTACACTGTGCCATGTGCTCTGATTCCAATTCAAAAACACCACAAATTTAACAGGTGAGAAGGACAGGCATTAGCTCTGTGTTTTTATTTCAAGCTCCTCTTAAGTCAGAAATGCATTATTATGGAGGAACTACAAAACACATGGAAAAGAAAGCTAAAAGAAATCCTGTTTTCAGAGTCTAGCCATAAAGTCAATAAGGACAATACAGAATTAAGAAAGTCCCTTCCTTGTTCATTATTTTCACATGCTTCATAAGTGAAATTTTCCCATCTTTCCTCTTGGGTATTTCAAATTCTATAGCTGACAACAGCAAATTCTTACCTTGGACAGTGCTTCATCATGCACAACTGTATTGGTTGTTAAAAGTACAAGAACTGTCTGGAGCAATTTAAGTTCTTCAAGACTGTTCTCCATCAACTGCCAAAGCATATTAATAATGTTCCCAGCTGCAGCCTACAAAGAAATATTTTTTTGTCACCTATTACAATATTCATATGCTGGTATATTGTGTACATATATAAGAATATCACTGTCATAAAGGTATATCATAACAATGTGCATGTTTGTCTATACCATAGGACTACATTGAGAATATAAAGCCAATTTCATTGTCATAAGCTTACCTAAGTACTTTTAAAGAATTGACAACAGAAATGTCTTAATATGCAGTACAAATTAAAGCCTGTACTTAATTTTTTACTTGGAAATATGGAAGACACACTAAAAATATATTTTATCCTCAGAATTCACTCAGAGAGAAAACAGTGTGTTTTTACATTATGCAAGCACAACTGCATTAGTTTTATCAGCTTCCTAACACACTATCATGGCATTTACTGCTGCAGAAAATGTGCATCCATTTTAACTTATTTTTAAAAATATAATGTAACAAAAGCACAATAATGTTATTGCACCGAATATACTTTGTGTATGCACAAGGTTCATTACATGTTCAGTTCCTGCAGTGTGAACTAAGAATGTGAACTAAATGAGCTGGTTTGAATTTTCATTAATTTCCTTCTAGAGGTTGTTAATATTGCCTCACCTTTTTTTTAATGGTGTAAAAGGTTTTCTTTTAAATTACTGAAAAATAGATATGAGTAAAACATTTTGTGGACTATGTTCATTAAAATATAAAGAGCCTCCTAAAACAACTCATTCACCTTCTGTTTGAGGTCTGTATTTTTCACTCTGAAATATTTCTGGTTTTGTATAAAGATTGATCTTACCTCTGAAACAACTTCATGAGACATGAGCCTCTGTATGGCTGCTAGACACAGCTGAGTGATCTTTGGTTCTTTTGTTCCACAACCCATCAGAAAAGGCTGAACCACCTCTGAGCTGTTCTCTTTCAATGCTTTCAAAGAGAAATATGGAAGCAGTCAATGTTCAATACTTTGAAAAATACAATGCAAAAATTGTTAATCACACCAATTAACAAAAAGCAATCTCTAGTCTTGGAAATTTGGGATTTACACGTGGACCACATGGAAAAGCCAAGTGAAGACAGACACTAGGCTGACACAGCTCACTTTCACAATTACCCTGGCCAAGGCTCAAATTCCAAGCACCTTCTCCCTTAGACACTCAAGTGACTTTCCAAATCCAAAACATCCACTTAAGGGTCCATGTGGTTAGCAAGAAGGTGTAAGGTTCTGCCAGCCCCAGAGCTTTCCCTGGCCTTGACACAGGAACCAGTCTCAGACTGGTAGCACTGTCCTTCTGCTCAGCTTCACCGCAGCACCTATTGCAGGAGTAACAGTCTGGCACAGAGCGACATTCCAAAGCACCGGGCAGCAAGGGGAAGAGCTAACTACCACTGACAAAACAGGAAGAGAGAGAGACTAGACTGTTTGTATTCTGGGTACATTCACTTGGCTGTGAATTTGTCAAATGCTGTTTTAGTGATAAAGGGTAGTTTCTTAAAATAGACTTTTGCCAGGAGAAAACAAGTTTCCATAAACTACTCTCTCTCCCATTTTTTTGGGGTTTTTTTTTTTTTTTCTGTTGGGTTGTTGGTTTGTTTGTTTTGGTTTTTTTTTTTGTTAAGGAGAAAGAGCTTCATAATGAATACAACATATGAATACATAATGAATACAACATTCTACACTGTCATTTAAAACAAGGGGTTTTTCCCCATAAAAGTAATTCAAGAAATATGACATAATAAAATTTAAAAATATGTAAATACTAAAAATATGAAAGGAAAGCATGGCTCTGACTGATGAGTGCTTTTTCATTTGCAGGTACGTTTGCTGATTCACGCAAACTTCTAAGATTTTAGCCGCTCATCACCATTTCAGACACTAAAAATTTCCTCAGAGTTGAAGGTTCAATGTGTGTTGTTACACTGAATGTCATACACCGTGTTTTAGTCTATGTGTAGTAGAACAAATGTATTCATGCAAAGTTTCACACGCTTTTCAGAGGACAGTAGTTACCACAAACAAAAAATACATTTTCACATACAAATGCAACCATGATCTATACTACAAAGCATCACTACAACTAATTTGGAATAAAAAATGAAACAAGTTAAAACTACAAAAAAATACTTTAGTGATATTTTCCAACTAAAAAACTAACTGAGTCAGAAGTTTCTACAAAAAGAATAGGCTACTATAGATTATGGATGCAAACTTCCTGTAAGATAATAGTTCTGGTGATAATAGTTCTAGTTCTATCCCAGGGTGATATCAACACACAGTCTAGTTTCATCAGCTTCTTCAGAGTCAGTGCAGGCTCTATGTCCAGTCGACATTTCTGAACTGACACTAAATTCTAACCATGAAGCATAAAAAAGCAAGCAAAAAGATACCACAAAACATTTATCCTTAACATGAGACCCAAGATAAAGTTCTGAATGGCAAAAATGGCATGAGTTAATAAATAACAAGACAAAGAATAAATTTAGCCTTTTACAATACTTTCTTCTATAAGCTATTAAAAGCAACATTCTCACAACAGAATCTATACAAGTATTTTTAATTAATGAAGCTGAAAAATTAATGTTTTGTAAAGCTGCTTTGGTACGTATCTGGTTTTATGGCAACCAAAACATAGGGTGATTCTTGGGGCTTTCCTGTTCAGAGAGTCTGGAGCTAAACTTTGATGACCCCTTCCAACTCAGAATATTCTGTGATCATGTGATTCTGTGGCTGTATTAGCTTCAGTCTTAAAATGCACAATAAATTTATTATTGCCAGGTCTGCCTCCATTTTGCTACCAATTTATGGCAGAATATATTAAAAAATAAATCTACCTTATTAAACCATAACAAGTGATAAGTTTTTGAAAAGTATTACTTACCTGTTCATTTCATCACGAGCAAGATTATAATTCTGATTTAGAAGAACTCCTAAACCATAAGTTTTTGAACATCTCAAAGCCACATGGAAATAATTTCTCAAATTTATCTCCTGTGATTTAAGGCTTTCTCCTCCTCTGGAATTTCTCAAATTCTTATAAATAAATAATAAAGCATGTACACACTGCCAAGAATGAAGGCTTTGAAACAGCTCAACTTAATTTTTCAAAGAGAAAGAAAGAAGTTAGATCAATGACCCCAAAGTTCATTGGGCAGGTTAAACATATCCCACTGAAAAATAACAAAGATTTTAAGATTTTAGTAAGATTTTAAGCCTGCATCTATTTTCCTAAAAATTATAATCCTACACCATGAAAGGCTTCAAGAAAACACCAGATCAGCTTATTCAAAATAATCTGATACATTTGTTCTTATCTATGTTAGTGAAATGACAGTTTATATCAAAATATTTAAAAAATCATATCCTGATCAAAATACTTATTTGTATTACTAGAATGTCTTGTAGATGCTCCTAAATCATCTAGCAGTCAAAAAATATCCAGTAGATTTCACAATTACATTGTAGCATTTTGCAGTTTTTTTACACAAAGTGATATATATAATTTTTCCTCAGAAGATATTAGATAGACAATCTCTTGACACTACCTTATGTATAAGATTAGCTTATAATTGATACCTCAAAAAATACAAGAGTTCATAAAGAACTGAGTCTGTTTAATGACATCATGCTTTAACTGTGGAACATTGCGATAATGTGCCGGCAAAGTACATTCTCCCAGTACAAAACTGCAGACTAGAGGAAGAAAAAGTTATTATCCTATTAGGAAAGATTAACTGATCAAAATAACTTTTAGCACCAGCTGGTTTCTTAACAACAAATCTGTGCGGGTTTTTTGAATGAAATCAATACTTACTACATTCCAGTTCAAACTTTCCAAGAGAAAATTATTTTAAAAATTTTACCAACTAAGAGAAAGTGTTCCCTCAAAAAGAGGAAAGCAAAGACTGCCCATCCATGACTAAATTTAATGATCTTTCCTATCTCTTCCCTTTGAAAACTGAAAGACAGAACTTTGCAGGATTAGAAACTAGCTTTCTAAAACACAAACTTTATTATGCAGTAATATGTTGATAGCTTCCAAAATTGCTAACTACTGCTTTCTCTTTTTCATTTGTGTATTTTGATATAGCTGACATTACCTGGCATACTTTCCCCACTTATGTCAGCATTCATGACAGCAGTAAAAACAAAGAAAATAAACAAATAAAAAAGAGGCATTAAAGTGAAATACTGAGAAGTGGGTTTGTTAATTCAAATAATCCTAGAAAATGCCTCCTTAACAATATCTGATTTACATACCCCAAAACAAGATATGGTTTAGCAGCTATTTCACTGGACTTTCCAAACAATCTAGCATTTCAAGGATTTTGACTACATCTAGGGTAGACACTCAAGTATTGATGCAGGGACATTCAAATCTGGCCAAGGGCTTTCCCAGCAATTGGCAAGAAGCCAACTTTATAAAGCTGAAGACAAAGCTGCAGCTCACAAGATATGTCCCATCCCTCAAGGCATTGGAACATATTCAATTGAATGACCTTGTCTCAGATAAAGATGGATTTTTGCCTGCCAGTTACAAGTCCCTAAAGGCTGGACTAATACATAGATGTATGTGGATCATGATGTAGAACTCCACACAGAGCACTCAATCACAACAATTAAAACACTGAGAATGTAGGGCCTAAGTATTTCATGTTATTTTTCTTAGTGGATGATTACTTTTGTAGAGCATCCACTGAAAATGGAGCCCTTCCTCAGCATCCTAATAGCATTAACAAGAAACAAGTAGTGTTAAAAAATTTCTGTGCTACTGGATTGTTTGCTAGGTGCCCAAAAGTAAAGCATCAAAAACATAGCACACACTAAAAGAAGTGTAGTATTATTAGACATATCCAAGACATCTTTTTAACATTTTCATCTGTAACTCAGCTTTATTTTTCCTATAGCACAGCAAATAATTACCTGCCAAAATATCTGTGTTTCGTGCAGCTATTGTTTTCACTTTTATTATTCCTGATTCAGCAGCCTGGAAGAAAAGCAAACAAATAGTTTAGATGCTATATTATACATCAATATCTGCAAAGAAATAAAAAATATTGTAGATAAATAGAAAGGTATAGTCTCATATAAAGAAATGTGTTTGCAGTGGTTTCTACCAGCAGAGCTAATGCAGAAGTGAAATTTTTGTAGTTGCTGGAATTCCTTTCTAGAATTCCACAGGAAGGATTATATTCAGAAATTTTAGAAATCGTGATTCTCACTGTATTATGAATGCAAAAAAAAAAAAAAAAAAGACTAGTAAGCATAAACACTGTTACATAGTCTCTGTACAGTTTCAAGCTACAATTACAAAAATGAAACTCATCTTCCCCATGGATTTTGGCTCCCAAGCGTCCTACACAAAAGACCCCAAGGCAATGCCAAAAAGGTGACTTTCTAACAACATTGTCTGCTCTTCACTGCATGCCATACAGAGCACAGCACCAGTTCCTCCCCTTTCTCCACAAGTATGACTTGGCAGAGCAGCAGCATCATCCTCTCCCTCGCCCACTCCTTCAGCAGGGCCAGGGCTGCGGGCCGGGTGACAGCGAGGGCTGCCCAGCCCAGCCAGGGCATCACACACGGCCCCAGGGGAGCAGCAACTCCCTCTCCAGTGCCCACAAACACTTCCCTGCAGAAATCACTCGAGTCATGCTCTCTAATGGGAAATCAAGCCAAACACGAAATGTAACATTTAAGCTTTGCATTTCAAGACTATGACTTCTGAAAGCCTTGTGTACAAAACACAAAAGATATATTACACATTGTGTCTTTCCGGTTTTATTTCATTAATACACTATAAGCCTCTGGAAAGAATTAAATAATCAAAATAAATGCAACAGGTTTTCCCAAATGACTGGATGCAAATTGCTGGAAAATACTGTTCTGCAAATTTGAAAGCACACTTCCCCTTTTATTTCAGCTTTGTATTTCTGTGCATTTTCCACACTAAACACTTCTATTTTTCCTCTGATACTACTATTTAAAGACATGTGCTGTCACCACACAGAAGAGATTAGAGAAGCAAAGAAACCATGTCATCAGAAATATGAAAATGATAGTACATTAAGTTTTACCAGGTGTTAATATTCCCTCTCCATCAGAACATTATTCCAACAAGGTTTCACAGAAAGTCATGTTAAGGTGACTGTATATATTGACAATTAAATCTTTTGATTAAGAGTTGACATACATATTTCTCAAAATAGCTAAATGAGAAATGCAAAGTTGAAGTTTTTTTTGTTTGGCTCTTTTTTAAAAAGTTTTTATTTCCCAAAACAATATAGGAAGACTAAACACTGCCTTAAAATCCTGGAGATCTATTTATATTTTTCTGAACACAGTTTTCTACTTTAAAAATAAAGTAAATAATATTCACAGTGCCCGATTAACAATACAACATGCTCAAATGAACACAAAGCAATATGAACATATATATTTTGCATACATAAAATAAGGCGTGCCAAATGCAGCTCTTATTTATTTTAATTATATTAACTTAATGTGTTGAAGTTCTTGTCACAACACTTTGTTCCTATTAATTAATATAAAGGATTTGTCACAGTTCAACTTCAATTATCTTTAAACTGAAACTAATCAAAATTACTAATGGCAATTGATTTCTGTCTTGCCAGGAGTGACAAACTCATTCTGATTCAAAGAAATATTAAGACTGATCATATTAGTGGCATTCACAAACACCATGCACTTCGCACAAATTTTTTCCAACACAATGGCTCTCAGTTGTTTCCATGCTGGCTTTATATAAAATAGTATACATTTGGGAAGAAAAAAAAAAAAAAAAAAGGTAAAACAAAACAACTGCTGAATATAAGCATTCTTCTCCATGAGATACAGAAATTTGTATGATCACTTGCATTATGCTATGGTTTCTATTCAGAATCCCAGTTAAAAATGTTTACAGTTAAAAATTAATTACACCACATACATCCTACAAAAGAAAAATACTCTACTGTATATGTAAAAGAAACAACATATTAACATTATAAAAAAATACTTCAGTTGATCACAAATATCCAACAGAAAACATGATAAGTATAAACAGTTCTAATCTGTATACATAAATGTAAAAGTGTGTTGGGATTGCATCAGTTTAAGTAGCAAAATAAAAGATACATTAATAGCTTTTAAGTTTACAAATTTACATCAATTACTATAGCAGTTTGCAGGACACTGTCACATGAGAAAAGGATCTTATAAAGCACTAATCAAGGAGATAGACAGCATTATAGTGTGTGTATTTATGGGTACAAATATGATAATTTATTTTCACATAAATATAAGACACAATGTTTTTAAAGCAATCACCAATTTTAGATGTATTATTACCAGCTTCCCTTATCACCACAACTCATAGTAGTCTAACAAGCAAGTCAGTTCTCTCTTTATTTTGAAAAGAAGCAAATACATGTAATTCCTGAAACATAACAAAGCTTAAATGTACTTAAAACCTTCAGCCAATTAGATTTCCAATTCTGTTGCTTTAATAACTGTGAAATGAACAGATATAAAATGTCTCAAACACACACCTGTCATTACTGAGTTTTGGTTCATGTTTCTCTTGAAGCAACTGCAGTACCCAGTCTGGAAAGGTAAAATATTGACAAAGAAGAGAAATTGACTCTCAGTGATAGCACATATTCAAGTCAATCTCTCCCAGTACTTTGATCTGGTTTTAATCAAACAGTAGATAATCCCACAGCAAAATTCAACAGGACGCTCTAGGCTCAAACACTTGCCCCATCATCCTCCTGCTTCCGTGGAAATTACCAAGTATTTGCTGATTATGTGGAAATCACTCTTCAGAGAACTTATATACCAAAAAAAAAACCTTAAAAATCAGGACAGTGTGGTTTCAAGTAGACTGAAAAGAAGTCTGTGCATTATATCTATCTCCTGGCCTCAAAGTTCCTCTCTGAATGTACAATCTGACAACAACATTCACAGCTGCCTTACAGATAGAGGTTCTCTGCATATGAGAGACCACAATGTGGAAGTGTGGAAATTCCAAAAACAGCTTCAGCAGTTTCTTAGATCCAAAACTCTTCTCCTCCTAACAGACTTCTCAGTTTTCAGTTGAAACAGGGAAGATTTCAGCCTTCCTGTCATTAGATATGCTGTGAGCATCTTCCTGTTTTTGGAAATTTTTACTTTGTTTAGGATATAAAACAGATATATATAGAGGTAGGTAATATCTGCTCAGGCAATCAGGAAGGAAAGACTTCACACATCCTCAAGCAGAACCAACATTTACCAACATCCAGGTAACATTCATGAGCTAAATTTTTCCACATTGTAGTTTGTGCACATACATTTAAAGATCTGTAACTCATCACATACGAAGATATTAGGATAAATGGGATATTCAATTCAACATGAATTGAACATGACGCAAAGGGACGCTATCCACACAATGGGTGGCAAGAGGATCTAGAAAGCACCAGTTCTTCAAATCTGTCTTCTGGGACACTGTGGAAGCTCTGAAATCCAGCTGCAGCAGGCAATCTACATTACCTAGAGATACCACTAGAGCTAACTCCATGATCATCATAACATTATCCGGCAGCCCAAGAACAGGACTTGTTTTGGCAGTACAAAGAATAATGGCTTGGCATATGCTTCAACATTTAACTCTCTTGGACATCTTGGACCTCTATTGCAATGCATATAGATAGGCAAGTAGGGGACCAGAGGTGTCAGCTGGGACATGACCTGACAGTACATCAGGTGCTCTGTAGTAATCTCTATGGATTTGTTGTTACTCTGGGGTAAACATGAAAGCGCTACCATACTTTTACTGAAAAATAATAGCATAGTTAACAACTTTTCCTAAGGGAAAGATGACACAAAATTTGAATCTAAAGTGAGAAAAAGCAATTGTTGTCTCTGCCATAGCAATTGTTTCTTTAAAAGTTTCAAACCAGGATTTAAAAAAAAAAAAAAATTAAAAGGATAAACATGCTGATCTTCAAAGGAAATTTGTATCTAACAATTAGGAACAGAAGTCAACACCTTTTTGACTTTATTAACCAAAAAAATATATATTTCTGTAAGGATATTTAATGCAACAATCAAGCATGTGCTAATTTCTACTAAGGATTGATCTAACATTAAGATTCTTTTTGTATTAATTTCTAAATGTGATAGCATTGTTACCAAAAGTTAATAAAACCAAGAATTTTCACTGCTAGTGCTTTTGAATGACCATTTGTGTCTTCATTGTACATTAAAGCAAACTGCTATCTCCAGAGACACTAAAATTGTTGTAATGTTTGCAGTCCTTACCACACAAGTTATTGATTTCTCTAATCTCAAAAGAAAAGCATTCAGGAATGATGATTTGTATTGGTATTTACATTATAATGTTTACCAACCTTTTATTCAGACTGGATGAGAGTAATATGTTATCTATAGTCACTTCCATACCTATTCCAAGAAATAAAAAGAGCAATTTTTTTATATCCACAACTGTCTGCCTTTCCAATTGGAACACTAACCCTAAATCCAACAGTTTAGATAAGAGGTCTTCCTGTCTAAAGTAGAATTTCACTTCATTGTTATTCTGGCTTGCTGTGCAAAACCACATTCTGGACCATTACTGTACTGCTACACTATTATTTGAAAAGAACACACAAAAAACTCCTCACTAAATCTGTCTCATGAAAGCACTCAAGCGTACCACATTTGTGTGTAAAAGCACTGTACTTGCCTCCTGTATTTTTATCTTCCTCCCCCAGAGTACAATCCCAACTCTGACCCTTCTCTTTTATATATACTCATTTTACATATAATTTAAACTGGCAAAAGGCCAGTCTTGATCTGACATGGCTGTACACTCACAGATGTTTATTACACTGAACAATTTATCACTTTGTTACAAAATTATCGTGAATTCAGAAAAAAAATTTAACAGATTTTATAATAAATCTTCAGCTGGAGAAGAAAGTGTAAGATATTGCAGTTTATGCTTTTTGTTTTTCAAAAACATACAACCTTGTTCATTTCCAGCTTTAGTGCAACTATATTAGTTGCTCTCATATTCAGAGTGCTCTTTCAAACTTGACAGGAATGACTACTCCTCTGGCCCATTAATCTTCTGAAATTGTCAGTTTGCAGTACCAGTAGCCAATTCAGAATCCTGAAGGTTAACCATTACTAATGCCAGGAGAAATGCCAGAGTTATCTGAAGTGCTTCAGAGCTGCTGCCCCTGGAGCTGTCT